AAAACATGGCCCAGAGGCAGTGACAGGTACAAGTCCATGTGTTGCTAGTGTGGAGGTCAAAATGCACTGCAAGGCCAAGTTAAAAACAGGATACAGAAACCAGAACTGATGCTCAGAAATTTGTAGCAGCTCTCAAGTTACAAACGAGAGCTGAAAATGGAGAACTAGCAAAGTCCCAATCCGGGCTCAGCTGAATGCTTCCAGCCTTGTGCTCAAGCAGTCTTTCCTCCTGATGAGACCTCTTCGGTAGCCAAGTACTTCCTTGTAAATGCTTCCTACTAACCTGCCTCCTGAGGCCATGATCAGAGGGCTCAGTATCCCTTTCTGCCTCTTAGGAGACAGTTCTGATGGCATTACACCAAAGGCCATGGACTTGGAGTTGGACTAGCCCTTGGGAGATCCAGGCTCTTGTCTGGACCAGTCACTGCCTATCAGCCTAACCCACGCCACAGGCTCATTAGGAAGATACGAGGAAAGTCTTTGGTGTATCTCAAAGTGCAAATTTGGTAATATAGCTCATGTGGGCCATCTAGTGCCCAGCATGCAATAGTACAATCGACTGCAGTTGTCACATCTCTCACTGAAGCAGTCCTATGACAGATGGGCAGAAAATCACAATAATATGCAACCAGCAGTTCCTTTTTTCTACACATATGCTGGCCTAAATGTACAACAGACTTCCTCCAACCTGATGATCCCCAGATATGTCAGACTACACCTCACACCCTCCCCAGTTAGCATGGGCACAATAATCCCAGTTATTTGTGTGAAACAAAGCACATATAGTGTGGCCATGTTTCCATTTCTGATCTGAAAGATCCCTTTTGGCCCAAGTGAGAAGTACAGGTGCTGAATCAGTACCTCTTGCTTAGTAGTCATTTGTTTAAAATTTAAAACCTCAGAAAACCCTTTGGTAGCCTAACAACCCCTCTCCCATAACACTGCAAACCTAAGTCCACACAAACACATACTTAAACCAGATGATATTGCATTATGCCCCTTAATATACCAGGGTATCCTTTGGGAATGACTCTGAACTGGAAGTTGGGAAAACTGCATTGCAGTGGTTCTGCTTCTGCTTGGGAGGGCCATTTCCAGTATGTAGTACTTGGGGAATATTGTCCAGTCCCTTGGATTCTCCCGCATGGAGTTCCTCAGGGGTCTGTTCTGTTGATATTCTTGGCAAGTCTCAGCTCGTAATCAGTCTTAGCCTTGCGAAGAATCCTTCTGCAATGGGCCTCCTTCTCCCAGTATACCCTTTTGTCTATTTGCCCCAGTACCCATTTCCTACGGAGGTCTCTCTTTCATCTAATCCTTCTAACCACCTCTGTCACATCCATGGTGGCACTCTCCTCCGCCTCCCCACCTTACTGACTAGAGGTATCGTCAAGGCTTGTGCCCCCAAAACCTCCCTTTTGAGTGCCATCCACCCCTCCTCAACTCGCTTACCTTCCCGTAACCTATCCCAGAAGACTTTCCCCAGTCTGGCCTTCAGTTGGCCAAAGTTGGCCCTCTTGAAGTCCCAGCTTCTAGTGCTCGACTTGCTGCACATCCCCAGTACTCTGATCTCAAAGCAAAGGATAGAGTGATCACTCGTATCCAGAGCTACCTAATCTGTATTTCATCTATCAGCTCCTCCCTATTGGTCAAGATCAAGTCAAGGATGTTTCCCCCCCTCGTCGCCTCTCGGACCCTCTGTGTGAAAAATCCTTCCTCTATAGCTTCTAGGAAGCAACGTGACCTGGCTGCCACCGCCGAGTGAGTCTCCCATGTAATATCCGGGAGATTGAAATCTCTCATAATTACTGTGTCTCTCCCCCGAGATGTCCTTAGAATATGGCCTGTCAGGACATTATCCAGGGTCTCAAGTTGACCTGGAGGGCGATAACATACCCCCAGTGTCAGGTCTCTTTCCCTGTCAAAACCCCTAAGTTTCACCCAGACTGCCTCTACCGAATCTCCATCTGTGCTGCATTCTATCTCACTGCATCCTATCCCTTCCCTGACGCATAAAGCCACGCCCCCACCCCTCTTGCCCTTCCTGTTCTTTCTAAAAAGGTGATACCCTTCTTTGTTCACATTCCAGACTTGCCTTTCATCCCACCAAGTTTCTGTGATTCCCACCAGATCATACCCTCCTATTCCCAGGAGAGCTTCAAGCTCTTCCTGCTTATTACCCATGCTCCTAGCATTGGTGTACATGCAACTCAACTCCTTCCCACCGTTTCCTTTCCTTGGAGTTCCCAGCCTCCTCCTTCCTCCCATTCTCCCTGATACCTGGCCCCTCTCTTTAGGAGTCCTGTCAGTCCCTGCAATACCTCTAAAACCCTGCTCCCAGAGCCCTGATCCTCTCCCCACACTTGTCCAGTGCGGACACATTTCTGGGGGGCCTGAACCCCCCCCCCAGTTCAGTTTAAAGTCTTCTGGACGAAGCTCGCTAGAGCATCTCCAAAGGACCTTTTCCCCATCTTCGTGAGGTGTAACCCATCCCTTTCCAGAAGCCCATTGGCAAGAAACCGAGTGCTGTGGTCGAGGAACCCGAAGCGTTCCTTCTGGCACGACACCCTAAGCCAGTCGTTCACCTCGGAGACCTTCCTGTCCCTTCCTGGCCCAAATCCCCGGACTGGTAAGATCGACGAGAAGGCCACTTGGGCCTTTAGCCCCCTGAGTTTCTTCCCCAAGGCCTCGAAGTCCCTGGCGGTCCCAACCACACCCTGCCTGGCCGCATCGTTTGTGCCCACATGGATCACCAGGAGCGGCTGGTGACCCCCGGAGCGAACAAGACGCTCCACTCTGTCCTTCACATGCCGGATGCATGCGCCCGGCAGGCAGCAAACCTCCCTTGTCTCCAGGTTGGGGCGGCACACCGCCGCCTCAGTGCCCCTCAGCAGGGAGTCCCCAACATCAATCACCTGCCGACGTGTCTTCCTGGTGGTGGTAGGCGGCTGTGCCCTGGCCCTCGCCTCTCCTGTAGCGGCCCCCTTTCCGCTTGTTCTCCCAGGCTGGAGGTCTTGCGGGTACCCCGAGGCCTCATCAGCCCCAGTCTCCCCAAGTGGAGAGAACCTCTTTCCCAGCTCCAGATTGGTGCCAGAAGAAGGAGGAGGCTGTGCTGGCCTCCTCCTTCTGTGGGTGACAGACCATGTCTCTGCGGCTGCTCCTCCTGTGGCCTCTCCCTCAACCCTCTGTCCAGGGGGAGGCTGCTCCTGGGCGGCCTGGAGAGCTCTCTCGGCCCTAAGGCACCTCACCTTCTCTTCTAGCAGGGTCATCAGCTTGCACCGACGGCAAGTGTAACCCTGCCTCTCCTGGGATAGAAGGGCGAACATGCAGTGGACAGCAACACCCATGACTCCCACCAAGGCCATCTCCTGGTCTGCCATCGGTATCCCTTCCGAGACCTTACCTTGGTCCCCTGCCTTGTTTGTCCTGCAGTCCCTCTCACTCACCCAGTTCTCCCAGACAAAAACCCACTCGCACACACACACACACACACACACGGGTAAAATAAACTTAAATTTAAATTGGAGGAAAAACAAAGCAAAGCACAGCACAAAAAAACAAAAACAAACAAACAAAAAAACTTCTGTGTCCCAGGAAAGGGAGTCTCCGGACAGCCCAGGCCACAGCTAATGGACGCAGACAAGGGAGGATGCCTTATCAGTCCCTCAGGCCAGTGGCCCCACCTGTCTACTTCCTCCTGGCTCCTCTAGCCTCTCTGGCCCGCCCCGCTTCCTCTCCGCTGCTCCTGGCCCTCTGCTCCCCTGCCCAGCTCCTACCTTGCCTTCGCCAGTCCCCCGGCCACTCAGCACTCTCTCCCAGCCTGTGCCTCTGCTGCTCTGCCAAGAGGCTGGAGCCAAAAAAAGACATGGGGAAGGAGGCTGGAGAAGGTTCGGGATATTGTCCATCCTATCCTTTCTTTTCCCTCCCTTCCCTGCTCACTGGACCGTCTCTCCACCCCTCAAGGTCAAGCTTCTATCCTCAGAGAAGCATCCAGTGCAGCTGTCACTGCACAAGTACTGAAGGGGTGAGGGACAGCATTCCCCATTCCAAGGCTGCAGCACAGAGGGAAGTATCTGAACTATCCTGTGGTCCCTGAGACAATCACTCTTGGACCACAGAACTGCACTCCTAACCATTTCCCTCAGCATATATTTCTATATAACAAATCCCGTAACTCTGAAGGAAAACAAAACTTTCAAGAGGTCTGCATATCCCAGAGAAGGTAGAACCTTAGAAGAGCAATTTCTAGATGTGTGAGCAAGGAGTGGACACCTACCATAGTTTTGTAAATATTCATATTTTAAAATAATCAAATTAATTGAGGGGGTGCTTTTGACCGATCAAATTGTTTTGAGTTGATTAGCTAAATGATCCATCAGCTAAGGCTTCAATTCTGTGCACACTTACTAAATCCAGTGAAATTTAGTTTTGAATAAATATATAAAGATTGTGCAGTAAACTGTGTAGGAGTACTTAGTGTCTATAGCTCCACAGTGCTCCTATCACCCTGTTCTTGGAGGGGTAGCACAGGAAGAAGAAAGGGTCTGCTAAAAGTAGAAGATACACTGTAGGCTGAAGAGCCTAATGAAATTCAGTGATTAGCCAAGGACCGCTGAGCCCTACAGCAGTGATGAGGCTATATGACATGGCCCTGATCCAAACTTGGTGAATTCTACAAATAAAGCATTGACAAAAACCAATCTTGTTCAGAAAAAGCTTTGTAGAAGGGGTGGATCTAAGGAAGAGAAGCATCTCAATAAAATCATCTTGATCACTAGCGTGGGTGATGAAGACTGTTCCAGGCACAGAAGAACAACACAATGGCAAGCACACAAATTCAAAGGAATGGGACAAGGGACAACAGATCAATCTAGGTGGGTTGGGAGATAGATAAAAGGAACTTCCTAAGCGGCTACATGTGTGCAAAAGTCTCCCTTCTGTGCTTTCAAGGAGAAATCATGTGCAAATCCTGTACCTGACAATTTTCACATCAAGCCAGTAACAATACTGCATTTTTTTTTATCAACAGGAAACAATTATACTGAGATAATCTGTGATCACAGACAAAAGTCATTTGCTCCTATTCACATGAAGACAGGCTTCTTCAGATGCCTTCAAATAAATACAATTTAAAATCCTCTCATGCATGGGAAAAGAGGACTGCAATTTCTGTTGTGCATCCAAAAAGTGTGTTAATGATGTAATTGTGGCAGACACAATCTGCAAAAAAAACCTATGGCTGGTCACTGTGTTTGCCAGCCAGCAATATAACAAGGTGGTGGGCCTGTATTTGCATAGAGCACCATACATATCTGCAGTGCTTCCATCTTTAGAAAGAGGGTATGCTCAGCAGTACGAAGTCATCTTACAGACAGTGATGGGGATATACAAGCTAATTCACCTGACCAATAGTTGCATTAGATGGTAAAGCAGTTCCATAGTTTGTAGAGGAAAAAGCTGCCAAGTCCTCCTCCTGTTCCATTCTTGTTTACTGTCAAGTTGCAGCTTTCATCCTTGAACTGAACAGTTATTTCAGAGACACTGAAATATTTCTGCATAAGCCTCGGCAATACTACAGTGCTCTTATACTAGGAGCAGATACTGTTAGACTACAATTGCCATCCACCCCAGTCAGTCTGGCCAATCATCAGGGGTAATCAGAGTTGTAGTCCAACAACATTTGGAACTATAGCTTCCCATCTTATACACATGCCATTCATTCCAATTTTGAAAAAGTTAAGTTCTCCCCAAAGTACCAATCTGGAAATTGTAAGATCCTTGGCACAGGCCCTTATCCTTGCCCTGCCACCATCAGATACACATTTGGAAAGGTATTGTTGGTGGTTTCTCTCTACAAAAGCAGTCCAAGCTAATTCTGCTTACAGGTAAACACATTTTTATTCAAACAAGCTTAGCTGTTTACTGAAATAGCTGTTATTTCCTGTGGATTGATGCATTTAAGAGTTTTGCTTTTATGTTTAAATTTTAATGCTGTTAGTTGTCTTGAGTGTTATTTGTAATTAATGGGAGAATAAAAATTAATAAAAAGTTCTTTGGAGTAGATTGCTCCATTGCCATACAAACAAAAAGTGCAATTCTAAAGAGAGTGGAAAAAACAAATTTTAGAAAGAGCTATAAGCAATTTGACCTCTTACTTCTTGCAATACATTGTTTCAGTTAAACTCTTAAAAATGCTGCCACTCAGTTCTTTCTCTGTCTGGAAATTTAATCAAAAAAATAAGCTTGCTCAAAGGAATAATGTTTTCCAATGAAAACAGGAGTAAAATTATAAATCAGTGCATCTGTCTCTTCCTCTTTGCTTAAAAAACGATGGTTGCTCTTTCGGGCTGAAAAATATTGGAGAAATATTAATTAGTTCCTTGTTTCCAGCTTTATGACTAATTCTTCTCCCTCTGTTTGCCAAATGCACATCCTAAAACTAAAGAGCACACTAGGACGTCATGGTCTCGTCTATGAAAAGAGAAATTTCAGAAGAGCAATGTAAGAAATGCCCTTACCCCTTCCATTTTCCAACCCTCCATGTGCCTCCAGATCAACACATTTCAAGAGATGATTGAATTCAAGAATAATTGCATAATTCTCCTCTTTAAAATCTTATCCTCACAACAGCAACCCTGTGAGCCAGACTGAACTGAGAGTCTGTGGCAGGCCCAAAGACATCCAGTTAGTTCCATGGCTGGGTGGGGACTAGAACCCAGATTGCCTGAGTTCCAGTCCTGCACTCTTAACCACTATACCACTCTGACTTGGCCCTTTCCAACTCTACTACTCTATTATTCTTGTTACATTATGAAAAAACACACAGCAATGGCACAGAAATTACTCTAGAGCAGCCTTCCCCAATCTAGTGCCCTCTAGATGGTTTGCACTACAGTTCCCATCAGCCCCAGTCAGCATGAACAATGGTGTGGCATGCCATGAATTGTAGTTCAAAACATTTTGAAGGTACCAGGTTTGGAAAGGCTGCTCTAGAGTAGTCCTCTTGGCATCAATAACATGGGCAGTTTTAGTACTGCAGCTTCTGATTATCAAACATCTAGACTACAGATTTCTAAAAAATTATACCCTTTGCATGGGTCTGTCTGCTCAAGGTTCCATTTAAAAAAACAAATGTTTTTTTTTGTTGAATTTATGGACAGAAGGTCACAGACCTTTCTTTAATTTTCCTCTAATGAGAAAATGTGGTTGTGTTGTCACCAACTATTCTATTTATATTTTTACACTTTAACCCTTCAAAAATAAGCCTCTGCACATGAAAGTAGAATGTCACAACTTCCATTTATAAATGCTTTCATATATTCTTTGCAAAGATTCCATACCTTCATTTACTAAGAAGTCAGCTGTGAAAAATGTTACTTGTACAGCTGGGCGGGAATGAGGAATGCTTTTTGTGATATTCCATTCAAATGGATTTTTCTCTGGATGCCACTGGACACCATAAATAGGGTATCTGTAGGCTAGGAAACAAAGGAGTTTTAATTCATGCCTGCATGCTTGCATGTGAACAAGCCTCTTAAGAACTTGGATCCACAATAGCGTAGTATTAACTCAAATCTTTTACAGAGTTCACACAAAATTATTTCATTTGTAATCATAAGTTTCTATATTGGGATGCCCCTTCATGGATCACTGTCTTGTCATGGCAAAGGGGCTTGCGTAGCTCAATGAAGCTATGAGCTATGCTGTGCAAGGCCACCCAAGACAAACAGGTCATAGCAGAGAGCTCTGACAAAATGTAATCCATTGGAGAAGGAAATGGCAACCCACTCCAGTATCTCTGCCATGAAAACCCCATGGACAGTACCAAAAGGCAAAAAGATATGATGCTGGAAGATGAGCCCCTCAGGTCGGAAGGTGACCAATATGAAGAGCAGAGGGCTAGTACTAGCAGCGCCAGAAAGAATGAAGCATCTGGGTCAAAGCTGAAAGGACACTCAGTTGCAGATGTATCTGGTGGTGAAAGGATGCTGTAAAGATCTATACTCTATAGGAACTTGGAATGTAAGATCCATGAATCAAGGCAAGCTGGATGTGGTCAAACAAGAGATGACAAGACTGAACATCAACATTTTAGGAATCAGTGAACTAAAATGGACAGGAATGGGTGAATTTAATTCAGATGACCGTCAGGTATACTACTGCAGGCAAGAATCCCTCAGAAGAAATGGAGTAGCCTTCATAGTCAATACAAGAGTAGGAAAAACAGTACTGGGATACAACCTCCAAAATGACAGAATGATCTCAGTTCGAATCCAAGGTAAACCATTCAACATCACAGTAGTCCAAGTCTATGCCCCAGCTGCTGGTGCTGAAGAGGCTGAAGTTGACTGGTTCTATGAAAGCCTACAACACCTTCTAGAATTAACACCCAAAAATGATGTCCTTATCACCATGGGGGATTGGAATGCTAAAGTAGGAAGCCAAAAGATAACTGGAATAACAGGCAAGTTTGGCCTTGGAGTACAAAATGAAGCAGGGCACAGGATTTTGTCAAGAGAATACAATGCTCATAGCAAACACTCTCTTTCAACAACCCAAGAGACGACTCTACACATGGACATCACCAGACGGTCAACACAGAAATCAGATTGACTATGTGCTCTGCAGCCAAAGATGGAGAAGCTCTATGCAGTCAGTAAAAACTAGACCAGGAGCTGACTGTGGCTCAGATCATGAGCTTCTGGTTGCAAAATTTAGGCTTAAATTGAAGAAAGTAGGGAAAAGCACTAGGCCACTCAGGTAGGACCTAATTCATATCCCTGATGAATATACAATAGAGGGGACAAATAGATTTAAGGAATTAGATCTGATAGACAGAGTGCCTGAAGAACTATGGAGGGAGGTTCGCAACATTGTACAAGAGGTAGCAACTAAAGCCATCCCAAAGAAAAAGAAATGCAAGAAAGCAAAATGGCTGTCTGAGGAAGCTTTACAAATAGCTGAGGAAAGAAAGGAAGTGAAAGGCAAGGAAGAAAGAGAAAGATACACACCACTAAAGCAGTTAGTGTGACCTTGAGTGAACTCTGGGGGATAGTGGAAGACAGGAAGGCCTGGAGGAATGTTGTCCATGGGGTCATGATGGGTCGGACAAGACTTCGCGACTAACATCAACAACATACTTTTATGTTTATGTATTTTATTTGTGTAAGCCGTCCTGAGGCTTTCGCAAAGGACGGCATACAAATATCTTAAATAAATAAATAAATAAATAAATAAATAAATAAATAAATAAATAAATAGCTGCCTGTCTTTTGGAACGTAATAATGACTGCAGTATAAATGAATTTTCTGTGTCTTATTGACAGCTAAAAGACTAATAATTCAGCACTGAAATGATAAATGGCCACCTTCAATGACACAATGGGTGGAGAACTTGATGAAACTTTCTTGAATGGGTGGTTTTCAGGTGTAATCTACAAATGGACAAATACATAAATATTTTGATTGCCTTTCTGAAGTCCATACATGAACACCTTCAATAATAACAACATAACTCGCAATGTTTAAAATATATAGGGGGAAATAATAGAAATATTTAAATCACATGGAAGAAATTGCTATATTTTCATTTTTTCTTTCACACACACACATATCAGTAAAGTCTGGCAAGAATTTAGTTTGATCAAACCATTACCTTCCATGGTGGATATGAAGTCCACATTGTGAAAATTTGTTGTCAATATCTTATAGAACTTTTGCAGTTTCTTATTATTTGTGAAATTCTGTAAGAGAAGAAAAATATATTAACATCCTCTTATGAAGAAAGCATTTTTAATTCTGCATCAGGATATTGGTCCTGGGAAATTCATGGCAGCTCAGGACTTCATGGCTGCCATTACAACCATGGGGCTGTCTCAACATGTCACTAGCCCAACACATGAAAGAGGCCACACACACTGTACCTGATCTTTTTGACAGGGCAGGAAGATGGTGATCTGGAAGTGAGGGATCTGATATTATTTCCTTTGTCGTGGTCAGATCACTTCCTTGTGAGGTTTAAACTTGGGTCAGTTTTCTCCTTCGTAAGGGTGCGGGCCTATTAAACTGGTCCACCCCTGGCATCTTATGGATCCTGATGGATTCCTGAGAGCTCTGGGGGAATTTCCAGTTGATATGACTGGTGCTCCTGTCAATGCCCTGGTTGATTTGTAGAATGGGGAAATGACCCGGGTGACTGACATGTTCACTTCTAAGTGTCCTCTCCTGCCATGCAGAGCCCACGCAGCACCCTGGTACACACCTGATTTGCGGATGATGAAGCAGGCTAGGAGACAACTAAAGCATAGGTGGAGGAAATTCCATGCCAAATTTGACTAAACACTGCTTAGAGCTCATTATCGAGCCTATGCTGTGAAAGTGAGGGTGGCAAAGAAGGAATTCTTCTCTGCCCCCATTGCATCCTCACAGTGCTGTCCAGCTGAGCTTTTTTGGGTGGTGCTGGGCCTATTACATTCTGGGTCTCAGATAGATCCTATTGCACCATCAGCTGCTCACTGAGACGACCTTGCCCAGCACTTTAGGGATAAAATTGTTCAGATTTGCCATGTGCTGGACTCAACAGTTGATGTGGCCCTAAAATAGGAAGTGTCCAGAGTGCCATCTGGTATGCTATTGTTGGGTGAGTTTCAATTGTTGCGTCCTGAGGATGTGGACAAGTCTGTCCCACCACCTGTTTACTAGACCCTTGCCTTTCATGGCGCTCACCAAAGCCAAGGACAGGGTCTAGGAAGTTGTTAACACTTGAAGGAAGCAGTGATCAGGCCCATCCTGGAGAGGGTGAACCTGGACCCAGAGTTAGCCACAAATTATATACTGGTGGCTAACATCCCATTCTTGGCAAGGTGCTCCACTGGGTAGGGGCCAGACAACTCCAGGCTCTCTTGGAAGAAATTGATCATCTGGCCCCATTCCATTCTGGTTTCAGGCCTGGCTATGTGACTGAAACTGCATTGGGAGGGTCCATCCTTGTTGGTTCTCCTGGACCTCTCAGTGGCTTTTGATACCACTGACTATGGTATCCTTCTGGATAGGCTGGGCGAGTTGGGGGTTGGAAGCACTGCTTTGTGGTGGTTCCACTCCTACTTGGCTGGCCAATTCCAGAAGGTGGTGCTGGGAGATTGTGGCTCTGTGCCACGGCAGCTTTACCATAGAGTTCCACAGGGTTTCATTCTATCCCCCATGCTTTTCAACAACTACATGAAACCGCTGGTAGAGGTCATTCAGGGCTTTGGGCTGTGGAGTCATCAGTACACTGATGACACCCAGCTCTACTTCTCTTTTACATCTAATCCATGTGAGGCAGTGGCTTTTCTTAACCGGTGTCTGGCCAGTGTGATGGGCTGGATGAGGGCCAATAAATTGAGACTTAATCATGACAAGATGGAGAACCTGTTGATATGTGGTTCAGCCTTCCAGGTAAGTGATTTTATCCCTCTTCTGGATGCGTTGCACTCCCCCTAAAGGATAGGGTGTGCAGTTTGGGAGTGCTCCTTGACTCAGAGCTGTCCCTGGAACTCCAGGTGGCGGCTGTGGCAAGGAGCGCTTTCCTTCAGCTCTGGCTGGTTCATCAACTGCATCCTTACCTGGATGAGCAGTGCCTAGCAATGGTGACCCATGCTCTAGTAACCTCCTGACTGGACTATTGTAATGTGCTTTATGTGGGGCTTCCCTTGGAGTTGGTCCGGATACTTCAGTTGGTTCAGAATAGAGCAGCCATGATTTTAACAGGGACCAGCAGATACGTTCACATAACGCCAGTCCTTTACTATCTACACTGGCTATCAACTGAAGTCTGGGCCCAATTTAAGGTGTTGGTGATGACCTATAAAGCCATAAATAGCTTAGGACCTGAAGGAGCATCTCCTTCCCTATGTGCCTGCCCACCTCTTAAGATCTGGGTCAGAGGTCCTTCTATGTGAGCCCGATTTGAAGGAGATTAGGAGAGTGAAGGAGATTAGGTGGTGGTGCCCCAGTTATGGAATATGCTCCCCAGAGAGGTTCACTTGGTGCTGACACTTTATTCTTTTTGGCACCAGGCCAAAACCTTTTTATTTTCCCAATATTAAGGTTTAATTGTTATTTTAATTGGAGCTTTATAGAATACTGTAATGCTGTATCTTATTTTACTTAATGTAGGACTATCCTAATCTTTTGTAAATAGGACCGTATAGAAAAACTTTAAATAAATACATTTTAATAAAGTTACCTGCACAGAAAGGCTCCAGTGATGAAAATGTGAAGTCACAGGCTCAGAAGCCATTTCTTTCAGCAAATAATCAGGAAAACCTTGGAACATCCTGCTGTCTTTGGCAACTTATTCCAAAAAAGGCAAGCAACATCAATATTACCATCTGCAGAGTGCCTGTTTGTTCAGTTTCATCACCTGTGCATTTAAGGAGAACTCTAACAGCCTTTAAGCTGTGGCAATTTCCAGTGCTGTCACACAGCCCTAGCATAAACCATATGTAACACAGCATCAACACTTGCTAGGCAAAGCAGGAATTTGACAGCAAATCACCCTTTTCCATTTGCATAGCAAGCACTAAAGGCATGGCACTAGCAACGGCTTACTCTAACTCAGCATCCTTAGCATTAGCGCTGTGACAGCACTGGATACTGCCCCAGCCAGGAAACCTGATCAACCTTTTATCAAACCAGAGCTATCATAAACAGATCATATAAGAAACTTCTTCAATCAACCTGTTTTTGAATTTTAGCACATAGCAAGGGTTACCTAAAGCCACAGGCATTCAGAAGCACTTTGTTAACCATAAGTTTTAGAGGAATTCATTGTTCATAATTTTATGGCTTACTCTGTATTCATGTGGGAAGAGGCATCACAAAAGGATTAAGCTCAGGACCTTTTCAGACAGATATAAACATGCATTCTCTCTCTCTCTCTCTCGTTCTTTCCGTGATATAAGCAGCTCTGAGTGGGGGCTACATAGTCCACACAGGATCTCTGCCAGGAGCCAAGCAGACGGCACTAGGAAGCCCATTGGAGAGTGTGAAGCAAAGGGCCATCTTCTCCCAGGAGCTGGCATTTTGAGGCATGGTGCCTCTGATCCTGAAGGTAGCATGCAACTGTCACAACACTGATGTAAAACTAATACCAGTAGCTTCACGTTCCAGATGTAAATGATGTAGAGCAGGGGTCTCAAACTCGCGGCCCGCAGGCCAATTGCCGGGACGGGCAGGGCACGGGGGAGGGGCCCTGCGGCCTTCAAAGCGCCAGCGGCGCCCGGGCCGGCCTCCGGATGAGCGGCCCAGCACCACCGCGGTGGTGGAATACTTGATGTGGCCCAGCCTCACCCAGACTCTACTTCCAGCAGCCCCCAGGTAAGTTGAGTTTGAGACCCCTGTTCTAAAGTGTTGTTTTCCGCTCCTGGTTTCCAGTACAGCACAGGTTCAGGGCATCAATATATGACATCTAAATAAAAACCCAAGAATACCAGAAGGAGGCAAGTATTCTCCAAGTTATTATTTCCATTTAGCTGCCTTCCTATTCCTCCTCTCTGCCCAACTCAGAAGTGTTTTAGGAACTAAAATTGTGACTTTTCACCTTGCGTAAAGTTCATTTGCAATGCAATGTTGTTCGTATCAGTTCGAGTGAGCAAGTTTTCTCCACTAGTGAGGTAGCTGAGCAACTGGTGTCCAAGACATGTCCCCCAGACTGGAAAATAGTCCCCGTTGTCATTTGCCTTGAAAATAACAAGGTGAAAAAGTAGAACACGATCAATACATACATATCTTAGATAAGCCTTCCTCAACCTCAGTCACTTCACATGTTTTGGAGGACAGATTCCCTCAGGCCAAACAGGGAGTCTGATGGGAGTTGTAGGCCAACCCATCTGGAAGAATCCAGGTTATTGAAGGGTAATGTATGGTGCGATCCCATATCTGTTTACACAGAGTGAAATCCTACGATTCCCAGCACACCTCACGACAGAAATTTATAGGGATTTTTATGTCTAAACATGCATAAGATTGTACCCTTAGACATTTATTTTTCCTACTAGATCTACCTAGAAGTCTAGACAATAGATCTCATAGCACAATCACTCCCAATTTGCTCCTTCTGCAGTGAAAGCAGCATGGTTAGTGTTATACTTGAACCTAGAATTCTGGCTTGTCTCTTCCTAGGCAAGCCAGATTTGAAGCCCCAGAGAAACAGGTTTGACTTATCAGGGGTGAGATAAGCCAAATCTAGTACTAGATGCAATGCTAACCAGTTAACTTGCTGGCAGGAAGAGTCAAGCAGGGGCAAATAAACCTTGTGAACTAGCATGTTGGCTTGTTCATTCCAGCTGGTTAAGCATGCAACCTGCTGAAGCAGGAGAAGAAATGTGGAGCCTAGCACCACAGTGATAATCCGGTCACTAAGTGTTTGCCATTCTTTTTTCAGGGTTAGAGTTCAGTGCTTTTATTAAATGAGAAATAAATGGAAGAGTTCAAGAAATATTCTGTCTCACAGCTTGGAAAGAACCAAAGTATGCTTGCAGTTTTCTGCCTAGTTAAGAGCATAAGAAAAGCCATGCTGGATCAGACCAAACATTCACCTAGTCACACGGTGGCAAACCAGCTCCCCACAGGATTGCTAAGCAGGATGAGCCCAAGAATGCCACCAGTCCAAGCTCCTCAGCAAGTGCTGTATGCAGGCAGGCCACCTCTATGAAATTAGTCAAAACATATGCAAGCTATTTAGTTATTTTCAGAAAAAGAAGAAAAAACTCTTTTTTAATATACTAAATCTCTGTATTTCTTTAGATCTCTGTATATCTCAGGCAGACTCACTTTCCACTGAACTCTTATTCATATATATGTTGCCATCATGATGGAGCTTTTCTGTACCTTTTGACTCAATAACACTGGTGCAGTGAAGGCTTACCAGCCCCATAACGATAAAACACAAAGGTAAGGCTGCATGAGGTAGGCCAGCTGGAAACTTCACACACAAGAGCCAACTAGTCTTCTTTCCTCAGTACTGTCACCCTCACAATGCAGAACCTTCACACACCCAAAGGCTTACCTCCAGTGCTTTATTGTAGAATATCCTTGCAACCCTGGAAAATTCAGAAGTCTCAAGGCTAACACCCCCTCCAGGGTAAAGTATCCTGCAAAAATAAGATGACAGCAGTTTTACTGGCAGAAATGAACTACCAATTGAATGGGCTACATTGAGATAAAGTATTAATTATGTGAATTACACGGCATGCAGCTGACTCCTCTCTGAACTTAACTTTTTTAAACGTGTATGTGTGTGCTGGGTGTAGTATTATTTCAAAATAGTTAAACCTCTCCTCCTGTGTGAATTGATCCTTATCCTACTCAGGGCTGCTTACTCTTACCTTAGCCTAAGTAACACAAAGCATGATCTGGATAAACTTGGATTCTAACTTCTAAAAAGTGGCATACTAAAGGTGTGGTACACAGTCTGGAGCCTTCCAGATGTTTCTGCCAACTCCCAAAATGCCTGACCACTGGTCAAGTAGGCAAGGGCTTATGGGAGCTTTCTAAAGCATCTGGGAAGAGACAGCTGTCTGCTGCGATATATTCTGTTCAGTCACCTGAATGCTTTTTCACCAGTCTTTAGCCAGCATGCATAGCTATACCTCAAGTTAGCATGTCACCTTTGCTAAGCTGAAAAGGCAGGGACCTATAGCCAAATGGGTAACCACATAGGGAGGTGGAACAGGGCACTGAACTCGATGGTCTTCTAGGTCACATCCAACTCTGCTTCACTTCACTTCTGTTTTATTCTGAGTGCTATTAAGCATCATTCAGGCAGTCATACTGGACTGAGAGGTTCTTAATTCCTACTTTGCCTGAGTCTTCTCCCACAAGAAAATCTACAATCAAGAGGAAGTATAAGCTGAAAGTGAGAGATGGTAACCCAAGACTGACAGACAAATGGTCAAGGAATACCTAAGTGGAATAAACACGTTCAAATCTCCAGGGCCCAATGAACTCCATCCCAGAGTCATAAAGAGCTAGCAGAGGAGCTCCCAGAACCACTGGCTATTATCTTTGATAAATCTTGAAACACAGAAGTGCCAGATGACTGGAGAAAGGATAACAATGTCCCTATCTTCAAAAAGGGGAAAAAGATGAACCTGGGAACTACAGACCAGTGAGTCTGACATCAATTCCTGTAAAAATTCTGGAGCAAATTATTTAAAAATCCATCTGCAAATATCTTGAAGAAAATGCAGTGATTAATAGAAGCCAACATGGATTTATCAAAAATAATCTCTGTCAGACTAATTTAATCTCATTGAGTAGGTAACCTCCCAAATGGACAGGGGAAACACTGTGGAAATAATTTACCTAGACTTCAGCAAAGCTTTTGACATAGTGTCTCATGACATTCTGATTTAGCAAAAACTGGACTAGATGAAAAAAATATTAGGTGGATCCAAAATTGGCTGCTAAATCAAACACAAAGAGTGCTCATCAATGGCACCTTCTCAAATTAGATGGAGGTAACTAGTGGGGTGCCACATGGTTCAGTCTTGGGTCCAGTGCTCTTCAACATCTTTATTAGTGATTTGGATAAGGAAGTACAAGGAAAGATAATCAAATTCGCAGATGATACAAAACGGGGTGGAATAGCAAACACCCTAGAAGACAGAATGATGATCCAGGGCAATCTTGATAAACTTGAACAGTAGGCTGAGAGCAACGGAATGAGATTCGGTAAGGACCAGGTCCTCCACCTAGTAAAACGAAACCAAATTGATCGATACAAGATGGGGAATATGTGGCTCAAGAGAACTGAAAAAGATCTTGGAGTAATTGTGGACAATAGGTTAAATATGAGCTAACAATATGATGCAGCCACCAAAAGGGCAAAATCTACTTTGGGATGCACTGACAGAAAGAAGTATTACTTTCAAATCACGAGAATTGTAGTTCTTCTATACTCCTCAATATAGAACTCAACTCCAGTTCTGGGCACCAAGATTTAAGAAAGATGCAGGTAAATTAGAAAGGGTCCAGTGGAGGGCAACAAAAATGGTCCAGGGTTTGGAAACACTACTCTGTGAGGAGAGACTGAGAGAACTGGGCGTGTTCAGCCTGGAGAAGAGAAGACTGAGTGGGGACATGGTATCCCTCTGTAAGTACCTCAAAGGCTGTCACAAAGAGGAAGGGCAAGATCTCTTCTTGCTGATACCAGAGTGTAGGACACAGAATAATCAAGTCAAGTTGCAACAACCCAGATTCAGAGAAGACATCGGGAAAAGCTTCCTCACTGTCAGACCAATATGACAGTGGAACCAGCTGCCTAGAGAGGTGGTGGGCTCTCCAACACTAGAGACATTCCAAAAGAAACTGGACAGCCATCTGAGTGGGATGGTGTAACGTGGTGTCCTGCAACACCAGGGGCTTGGACTCGATGGCCTTCATGGCCCCTTCCAACTCTTCTATTCTATGATTCTATTATTCTATGGCTGTGGCAGGAAGAAAAGAGAACACTTCTTCCCAGACTAGTCATAGGAAGGTTTAGATATTACGGTACTTGTTCTCACAAACAAAAATCCAGAAAGGAAAGTGCTTCTCAGAAGCAATGAATGACAGATTGTGCAATAAGGAGCAGGCTGCACACACACATTTGTGCACACATACGCGAACACTTTATCTGATGAAGCAAACCACAAGAGTTTGCTTCACGTATGGGGAAATTTCCTCTCCCCACTGTCATCATAATCATGCCATTATCATCATTGCTTCTTCACTGAGCAGTCCCACCTAGACAGCTTCTTATTTAGAGCAAATATGAGTACTTCAGGGTCTAAGGAACTCTCTGCCACTATGACTCAGAGATCTACAGACTGAACCTTCCCACTACCCTAATTTTATTATAATGCTTTAAATATAAATAGTAACTGATACAAGATGCTTAAGTGTGAGAAGGGCACCAATACTAGAGGCAAGATGAACTATTAAACAAATGATGTATTAAAGGAATAATTTGTATGTAATATTTATTTGGGGATTCTCAGAGGCTGCTTAGTGACAATTCTTTAAGACTCAAGAGACATTGGTGCTGTTAAAAGCATTAAGATTGTCTTTTCCTTCAGGCAAAATTCCTTAAACCTCTACCCCAGCCAAATAAACTTTCAACCAGGGTACAGTCTTGATCTGACAAAAACTCCTCTTGTCTTACTGCCTTCCTGGACAATTTTATGGGTTTTTCCTACTTGTATAACCTTCTTTTGGTGAGATCTTTGGGTAGCCTCTTCATATAACAGTCCTTTGCTCCCCACTCCTGATCCTCATCAGACAATTAAGGTTATGCCACAGAAAAAAGGATCGCTATAACTTTCTTCTAGTCCTCCCCTCTTTCTCCCCTGCCCCCAGACTAACCCGGACTAATTCCTAACCCGTCAACTGCTCACACCATACCCTCAAGTACACTGTTGTCTAGGTCATATTTGATCTTAACAGCCCTTTCCACTGTACTACATTGCCTTTGGCTACAAAAAGCTGTTCATTATTACACTTACCCATTAATAGACTTGAAAATCTTATCATATTCTTCATCAGAACGATTTAATCTGAAACAATTCAAATAAAAAAAGTTAACATAATTATAGACTTCCCCCTCATCAGATTAGAACAATATTTAGCATGGTAACAGAAAGGCTACATTAGCCTTCCTGAACCTGATGTGCTGCAGGTCTTGTTAATAATCCATTTCCTCTCACAGTTTTCTCCAAGAAACTCATGGCAGCATACAAGCTTTCCTCATCTCATGTTATCTTCCGAACAACCCAGTTTAGTTAAGCTATTTCAACTGGTTCAGGGTAACCCTGTGTACCGCATGACATAAGGATCTGGTCTAACACTTTAACTGCTACAGCACACGAGATCAACAAATACAATCATATGGGAGAATGCAATCTCCTGTCCTAAAGAAAGCTATTCTAGCTCTCAAAAGGCCCATGCATACTGTATACTTTATTTTACATGGCATGCAATAACAAAATGTCTTGTGGCACTTTAAAGACTTAATGCATGTATAATGGCATACATCTTTGTGGATTTATATGTAATACTAGCACAGTATTCATGTGCACTTACCTTATTGGTACTACTCGTGCGCCAGCAGATTCAAGAAACTTCACATACGAAGCAGCAATGTAAAATTGTCCAAATTTTTGCAACACTTTATCAGTGTGCTGTACCAATATTCCTAAAATAACACAGATTAATAAAGCATGTGTTATATGTTTATATTGCTATAAATATTTTTACATGCTTCGGATAAAATAGTAGCCCATGCTGTAATAGTTATATCTAAAATTAATTAACCTTAATGTTTTTCATACTTTTTCATAAATGTTTGAAACTAAGAACTAACAACCATGGTGTTTGACTAACCATCATAAAGGTAACTTTTTCCCAAGAAATTAAGCACAACCATATCAGAGACCATTTTGCATGTTACTAATTTTCTATTCCAAATAATGCCTATGAAAATAGCTTGAAACCTGGGTTTGATGATTAGTACAGTGGTCCTATGTGTATCTTACTCTGTATATGTGGGGAGTTCTTTCTGTACAAATCTGTGATTATCATACATGAACATCAACAAATTTATTTTATGCTGTACTGAGATGCTTTTCAAATGAAAGTGTAATGTGTGAAATGACTTAACAGTCCAAGGGAGTGAATACTGAGACTACAATGTGGCAACTTTAAAGTATATTTTGCATATTTTTAACTTCAAAGTACTTATGTTTCTAATTCAGCTTGTTGAAATGTCAAACATAAAAGGACAATACTTTAACAGAAACAAATAAATGGTCATAAAAGAATGTACAAACTTTGTGTTCTGCAGAACTCTTCTTCAGGCTGCATGATACCAAATGCAGGGGATAATGGTGAAATTGAAGAAGTACAAAACATATATAAGGTCTGCATTTTAGACCCATTTCCAAGATAGAGATTGAAGACTGAAAAATTAACACTGCAATCCTGTGCATGTTTAGACAATTAAAAGGCCCAAGACTTCCTCATATTCCCTAGTGGAGCATGGCTAGCTAGGAAATGCTGGAAGTTCTAGTATTTGTTTATATCAAAGCATGCTTAATAGGATTGTGCCTTAATGCTGAAGGGCTTAGGTTACATCTAGGATTCTAGCACAGAAAAGCAGTGACTTGGTCCCATTCCTGAAAAAATAAAGGTCAGCTGTCAAAGTTTCTTTTACAGATTTTCTTTAACTATCTTCCTTCTTCACAGTCCAATCCAGGGCTCCTCAAACTTTTCCAACAGGGGGCCAGTTGAAAGGTGCCCACGGTGGGCGGGGGCCACCAAGGCACTGCCGGTGGGGGTGGGGAGTGCAGGCTAGGGTGCACACACATGGCAAGGTGGGGGTGGGGGGCGCGCGAAGCGAGGCAGCGCTTGCTCGAGCAGAGATCATTTTCTCCAAGCGAGTCCGAAATGATCTCCCCGTGAGCAGGCTGGGCACACACACGGCAAGGCGCTGGCTTGCTTGCGAGATCATTTCTCCGAGTGAATCCAAACTGATCTCTGTGCGAGCAAGCCGCATGCGCACGCACGGTGTCGTGAGGTCGTAACTCACGCCTCCCATTAACTCACACAGCAGTCGGCTGTAAAACTAAAGTCTTTTATTACTACTTTCTACAAGATTTACGATACAACAGATAAGCTCTAATGAGAAGGTCCAAATAGATCAGTTTCTCCCGCCTTTGTGAAGACTCTGGGGAGCCCACGTGGGATTAGCTTTTCCTGTCACATCTTTCCACTCGTGGGCGGGACAAACCTCTGTCTTATTTTCATTTGTTCCAATCGTCTTAAACTGCGTCTAAGATTGGCGTTGGCTAAAGATATCATGTCTTCTGTATCTCCTGGACTCTGTCCAGCAATTACAGAGTCAGGAGGTGGGGGGCATCTTGCTCACGCACCTCAGAGTCAGGATGAGGAGAATCCTCTCGTTCAGAAGCCTCATGATCGGGCCGTGACGAGGCTATTAGTTCAGAAGGCAAAGAGTCAGGGCATGGGTGAGCTATTTGCTCAGTAGTCTCCGAGTCGGGCTGCGGAGGGGCCGTTTGGCTACTGGGCCCCAAGTATAAGTCATCTTGTTCTAATGTCCGATTCTCATTTTGAATGTTTGACTCTTTCTCGCGAGGTGATGTTTCTGTCGAGCTGTCAGGCACGACACACAGAGAGTGCAAAACCTCTGGGGCGGGCCAGTTAAATGGGCATGGTGGGCCAGATCTGGCCCATGGGCTGTAGTTTGAGGACCCATGGTCTAATCCATACAGCCAGACCCACAAAGCAAGCAGAGTCCAACAATTATTCTGTTACACTTGGTATATCATGAACTAGCCCTAATAAATATTTATGAAAATATCTGGAGACATGTTTCCAAACATTTATCAGCCTAGATGCATACAAAGCAAAGATTTTCATTCATCTTGGCAATGTTGCCACATGACCTATTTTGCCACCATTTTCAAAAAACAACTTAACCTGTCCAGTACGCTAGCTTATCTGCTGCAACCAAGGTGTTGAAATTTGACCTAGAATGACTTCTTCTAGCTCACCAACAACAGAATACAAGTGCCAATGAAGAGGGGGAAAAACAGCCTGAATAATCATAACCATTTTAAAGTTCTGACAGTTTTGCACAGATACACCCTCTTAAAAGATCACTGACAGGAGACATCATTCTTATCAGGAAATACAGACATACAACAGAAATAAATAAATGGCACTTAAAATAGCAAAGCTGTATTTACAGTGCATTTGACTGTAATTTTGGGGCTGTATCCAGTACTGCCACTGTGCTTTCACTATTTCCATTATCACTAGCACATTAGAAACCAGCACTTCTTGAAGCAACCCTGGAAATCAGCAGAAACACTTGTTTCTGGGACTGACTAAGCAATGGAGTGTCCTTTCCCAGTTCCACCAACCTGTCCCTTAAAGGGGAAAAAATAAAGCTCATTTGTGCTCACTTCAGAAGCTGCTAGCTTTCCATTCCACTAGTGGTAAGTCTTGCTAGTGTGTGCCAACTTTGGACACTACCCTATTTGTTTACTTTAGATATTCTTGCATTGAAATGGGAATTGTCTGCACCTTGCAGGAAGCACAGTGGGAACACAACACATTGCCATGTGTACAGACCCATATTATAATCTCACCTCCTGATGGGGCTAGAGAGTGGAGCCCAGGCCAGACAAGTGATATGTTTTCTTTGCACATTAGACTGCGAGGCGGCCATGTACTTCAGGAGAAAGTAAAGCAGGTACACTTAGGGACAGCACTGAAGCTGGGATAAAACCTGCCCCGTTTTCTGTGGTAGCCACAATATCTGGGCCAAAGGGTCAGGTTCTGTTTCATCAGCCATGTTCCAGAAGTCAGCCCCATCTGCTTCAACACAGTTCTGCTTTGACATAGTTCTGCATAACTCTATTCTGGGTTCCATCTCTTGGCATAATGGTAGCAAAGGGTTAGAGAGGTCTGCCTGGCGACATCATTATATGCTTTTCAGCACTAGGTCAAGACCTTTTTATTTGACCAATATTGTACAGCTAATTAATTTTATGTGTATATTTATTCATATAATTTATTTTAACCATGTCATTTTATACTCAGTCATGGTGTAGCCAATTTATTTTGTTTAGGATTTATAATATATTGTAAGCTGTCCAGAGATGACAGTAATGAACGGCCTATAAATTTCCTAAATAAATAGATAGCGTAGGGCACAACATATTTTAGAATAACTGAGAATAGACACAATGAAACAATGGAATTTAAGTTAGTCACACCCACAGAAGTCCCACTGAGTTCAGTGGATCTACTCCAAGTATTACTAAATCAGAATCTAATCCATAGTGCAAAAGTATTTATAGCCATTTGACTCAAGGGGTCTCCAAACCAGCTGACAATACATGAAAGCTTATAATAGAACCATTAAATAATAACAGCAACAAAATAAGACTCACAGATACACAGCCCAAAAGCAAAACAGAAAGAATAACATCCCTACAATGCAGAAACTCTCAGTGTCTGATTGTGTTGGACTTCCTCAGACAGGAAGTTTCATAAAACTGGGGATTCCAGAAAACATTGTCATTCATTTCTACCCATGAAGCCTCTTCACAAATGAGAAAGGAGGATACATACAGTAAAGCCTCTTCCACAGTTTGTGGTAGTTGAAGTTACTTTTATTATTAATTACATTGAATTGCTGCAAGGAACTCAAGGTGGCTTACAAAGTTCTCTTCTTCTCCATTTTTTCCCCTCATAACAACAACCCTGTGAATTACGTTAGCTTGAGAGTCTGTGACTGGCCCAAAATCACCTCAGAAGTTTTATGGCTGAGTGTGGACTAGAGCCCAGATCTCCAGAGTTATAGCACAACTTGTTCCCATGTTGCAGTTTGTTCACAGCTGTAACATGCTTATCAGGACTGAGGAATGGCTTCACTGGGTAGTGTGGGAAGGGAGAGGAAATGCCCTTTTGGGGCTTTGGCAAGCAGCAGCAACTTTGAGGAGATTCTTCAGTTGCTTCACCACCTCCCTCATCCTCACATGGTTTTGTCTCCTCTTTTTCCTCCCCTCTATGTCCTTTGGAAAAATAATAACAGTTGCAATATCTTTAAGCCTGAAAAATGCACGAAATAAATCACATGTTTTAAATGGCCTTATGCAGAAATAAATCACATTGATTTCCATGGAGCTAACTTGGGGAAGGGGGAGAGTCAGCGTGGGAGCTGCATTTGTTTTGCGTGGAGAGGAATTGGGGCACTGATTCTGCAGGCTTCACCCTTGGGAAGGTGGGAGGACAGCAGCAAAAATTGCCAGAGCTACCCATTTTTTCTCCCCATCCTTCTCCATGATTTTTGTGAGAGGGCAGGAAGAGCTGTCAATTCATCTCCCCTTTAAAAGTGCCCCCACTCCTTCACTCCAGGGAACCTGTGCATAGCTAACTAAAGTAAAAACAAAACACAAAAACAAGTGCACTGTAAAGTGTCATTTCCTTGCACATACCAGCTTTCCAACTCCTAATTCTCCCACAATTTCATTTGTGTGTGACACATGAACACATTCTCAACACTGTGGAAATTGTGCTGTATTCATTAGCATGTGCCTCAACTGTGATAAATGTGTTTTGCATGAACACTGAGATTGTGCTTTCTCATTCACAGAAGGAATTCTAGTGAAGTTCTCCTCAAGCCCATAATATCCAATAACATTTGGTTCAACTATAGCAATGAATTTATGTTTTGTTAAATTTTAGGGGAGGGAAATACAAACACAATAAAAATCTAGAATCTGACCAGCTATTCATCCCATATGCATATGGCTAGGGGCATTTTCTCTCAGGAGCTGTTCTGACCAGGATACAAGGCTCCAAATATTTCAGTGCAATCTGCTCCCTGCCTCATCTACAAAAGCCTTGCCAAGGACTGCAAGTTTGTTCTGAAAGGGAGAACAGGTCACAAATTACATGCATATATTCTTTTCACATAGATCTCTGCTGACATACCTCTTCCTATTAGCACGCTATATTAGCACAGCAATAACTACAACCATTACAACATATTTTGAACATATTTTGAGGACCAAGGCTGTAAGCCTGTGCTCATTTACATCAAGGTACACCTCACTGAATCCCCACATGCACCTGCATAAAAGAATGGACCGTCAACCATGTATTTTGGGCCAGTTCGCTGAGGTTCAGTCTGCCCCATCTCACAGTGTTGCTGTGGGGATAAATCAGAGATGAGGAGGATTATGTGCTCCATCTTGGGCTCTTGGGAGGAAAGGTGGGCTAAAAATGTAACAAAAAAGTAAGTACAAGTCAATGGGTTTCTCTGGATCTTCCAAAGTGAAGGATCTGGACAAGTGTAAGAGCTCCAGATATGTGAAAGAGGGCATTTAAACAGATAGTCACTGATCTTGGATCAAAAGTGAGAGGACACCTGACAGCTCTTGGAAGTAACCGCTATAGTGCTCTGTCCAACTAACACACTCACTAATTAAAAAAAAAAAAAAAAAGTTGGCTTAGGGTCAGAGCGGATATACAGAGGACTTCGTCTCAGACGAGGTGTGGCACCAAGACTAGAAAGCTTCCTGGATGCAGGGATTCCGTTTGTTTAGCTTGACTACCGCGTCCACACCAAGATCGATCCGTATATTTATCCAGGAAACAATATGCATTAATCGCTTACACTACGCGGGGTACAAAGGGTAAGACGACCACCTTAGACATGCCCGCTCGGGAAAGCATGCTTTCGAAATGTAGCTGACGAGGAAAGAAGGTTGCTATTACCGTCGTCATTATCATCATCAACGTTATTTCCCTTTTTCTATCGATATACCGTCATCAGTCAGACAACTGGTTTCTTTATGTTAAGGAACACACGATCGCACACCCTCGGTTATCCTTCGTCGGTGCCAAGACTCACCAATAATCGGTCTGTCATTAGTAATCCGAGAAGGCAGCACGAACAAGACCGCAAAGCTGCAGAAGACAGCGAGAAAGCAACAAGCGCCCAGCGCGCAGCCAAGTCCCGGACGGCTCCCCATGGCTATCTGCCGCTTAGCAGCTCCTCCAGCCGCTCGGCACCGGGTAGCCAGACTGAAGTGCGCGGTCCGCTCATATGCCCGTAAGAGGAGGCAAGCCCGCCCACTCACGGCTCTCCGCCGCCAGAGGCACTCTGGGAAATGTAGTCCCGCGAGAGCTGGGCGTGGGCAAGCCACTTTTCATTCGCGAAATATGTTCGATTCCTTCTCCCTTGTTTCATTCTATTGTCGCTTAAGAGCTAGTTGTTTATCGCTGTTGTTATCTATAGGAAGAATAGTTAGAAATGGTTCCCGGGCAACAGTGCGTGGGAAGGGGCTTTTCCAGACAAGAATCTTATGGAAATAAATGGCACCTTTTCCAAACCATCCGCCTCGTGGCTTATTATGTAGTTTTGTATTTTGTGAAGCCTGCTATGCGATGTTTGCATTGTAATTACCGACAGTAATAAGCCTAAAGTGAATAACGGATATCAATGCATATTGGGAATGAAGGAAGTGCAGTCAAAGTTCGTTCGTCCTTCACTCGGTCCCCGAAGCTCCTCTTTGCGAGTGAGTCCAATCTAAAGTGTGTATTAATTAATGCGTTCAGAGATTTGAGTACTAGTGGTGTAAATGAATTGGTGGAGAGATCGTAGTTTTGATAGCTTTTTACATTCGCTAAGTTAAGCGCTGACACGCTTTTCAGTTACTTCCTGCTTTGCTGTTGCGGGTATTGTTTTGTTTTTCATAGTATGCTCTGAAATACAATCCACAGGGAATCCAGCATTTGTACCCAAACAAAAACCTAACTTTTCTGATCGTGGAGCGGAAGGGAGAAAGAGAAAAGGAGTGAACATTTTCAGCCTGCTCCTTTGCACAAGTTGCAATAGCTTAGTGGGAGTGGAAGGAAATAAGGAAGTGTGGTGGAAGAAATACCAAGAGTGTTTGTTTTGTTGTTTGTTTAAAGAAAAGCATAACTAGGAGAGCTCTCCAGGCATGAATTTGTACCATACTTTTATTTTAAAAATCTAAAGTGACTTCCTAAGCCCAAAGTACAAAATACACAGCAGAGTGAAGAATAGTAAAGTAACAGCACTTAAGGGACATTTGCGGTTTTGACCGGTCGTTTCGTGGTGCAATCCTACGTATGATTACGCAGTGTCCTATTGTCTGTTATGGGGATTACTCCAGCTGTCTTGCATATTCTTGGCTTTGTTAGCTGTCTTGGGCATCCTGTAAAATACTCTTTGTCCACTTGAGAAGCCCAACTGCCACTGAAATTTGTCATATATTCAATAAAATGTTATATATCCAATAAGATAAATATTATCTAACAAACCTAACATAAGAAGCTGGCAAAGCTGTGATCCATCTATCTCAGATTCTGGGAATGAAACCTCTCAGCTGCAAGAACAGCAAACATGTCCCAATTCTGTTAAAAGAGGAATGAAAGGGAAGGATTTAATTGTTCTTAAATGATTTGAACTTAAGGATGAGCACTGAGGTGCCCAAGTTTCTTGACGATGCCAAGTTATTTAGGGTGGTAGAAACAAAAAGACATTGCAAGAAGTTTCAAACGGATGTTTCCAAAATAGGAGAATAGGTATTCAAATGTCATCAGTTGCTTTATCTGTGATCCTGCTTGCTTCTTCTTGGCCAGCAACAGCTGTTTCTACCTCTAATTTTAGCTTTAGAGAGGCTAACAACAAATGAAAGAGGAGGTTTTCTCACTAGTCTGGGTCTGGGAAACAGCAGAATAGACTAATCCTGCAGAAGATCTTCCTGTTGTGTGTCACGGTTACTTTTGAATTGGTCCTGCACTCTGAGTCCTTCTGTCTACTCCACATGCTTCATTCTTTGAGAGTGCTTTCAGAGCATCTTTCACTTCACTTTCTAATATTGCAGGATCTTCCTCATAGGATTCCTCTGTGAAGAATCTGTCATCCTTTAATCTTTTATGTGAAGAAGTGCTTGGTTAGCATACCATTAAAGAAGGCATTTACTAGCTTATGTCTTGAAACAATGCCTTAGCATATCTTAGGGAGATGTTTCCCAGATCCTTCTGGAACACCCCCTTTGTCCTTTGTCCTCCAGGGACAGATGGAGGACCTGAAATATGATGACCTACATTGCCCCTTTTATAATACCATAATGGAGTGAACGTTGGGCCAGATTATCAACAATTTCTCAGCTTCAGAAGCAGAATGTATTCATTTTCTGCTTGCAGATATATTTTCCCATTTTAGTGATCAGGTGGCCATTTTACCATTTTATCTTTTAAAATTAGAAATATTATATCTACTAACTCAAACTTTGACTGAATTTTGTTTTTATTTATTTATTTATTTATTTAGAACATTTCTATGCTGCCCCTAATCAATAATTAACAATTAAAATATCTTTTAAATAAAAAGGTCTTGGCCTGGCGCCAAAAAACAAATATTGATGGCGCCAGGTGGACCTCTCTGGGGAGCGCATTTCATAGGTGGGGCACCACCGCAGAGAAGGCCCTCCTCCGGGTACTCAGCCTCCTAATATCTTTCACAGAGGGTTCCTGGAGAAAGGCTTCTGCCACCGATCTCAAGGGGTGGGAGGGCATATATGGACACAAGCACTCCTTTAGATAACCAGGTCCCAAGCCATTGAGGGCTTTATAGGTGATAACCAACACCTTAAATTGGGCCCGGACTTCAATGGGAAGCCAGTGAAGCTGACGGAGGACTGGAATTATATGAGAACAACGCCCAGTCCCCATCAGCAACCTGGCAGCTCTGTTTTGCACCAATTGAAGTATCCAGACCATCTTCAAGGGCAGCCCCACGTAGAGGGCATTACAGAAGTCTAATCGGGAAGTTACCAATGCATGTGTCACTGTCGCCAGTCAATCGTTCTCCAGGTAGGGACGCTGCTGATGGATCAGCCGAAGCTGAAGGAAAGTGCTCCTCACCACTGCCGTCACCTGAGCTTCTAATGACAGCTCTGGGACGAGGAGCACTCCCAAGCTGCGAACCTTGTCCCTAAGAGGGAGTGCAACCCCATTCAGGACAAGGTTCAGGTCCCCTACCCCGAAGCCTGAGCCACCTACCAACAGGACCTCTGTCTTGTCTGGATTGAGCTTCAGTTTATTGGCCCTCATCCAGCCCATTACCTCGGCCAGGCACCGGTTCAGTACAGCTACTGCCTCACCTGGATTGGTTGAAAATGAGAGGTAGACCTGGGTATCATCAGCGTACTGATGATTCTGTAGCCCACACCTCCTGATTACCTCTCCCAGCGGTTTCATGTAGATGTTGAATAGCAAGGGGACAAAATGGACCCCTGCGGAACTCCATGGCATAACTGCCATGGCACAGAGCCATAGTCCCCCAGCACCACCTTCTGGAATTGGCCATTGAGATAGGAGCGGAACCACCAAAAAGCAGTGCCTCCAACTCCCAATCCTGACAGCCTATCCAGAAGGATACCATGGTCGATGGTATCGAAAGCCACTGAGAGGTCCAGGAGGACCAACAGGGACGCACTCTCCCTGTCTCTCTCCCTGCACAGGTCATCATACAGGGCAACCAAGGCAGATTCAGTACCATACCCAGGTCTGAAGCCGGACTGAAATGGGTCCAGATAATCAGTCTCATCCAAGAGTGCTTGGAGTTGTCTCGCCACCACCCGCTCTAACACCTTGCCCAAGAACGGGATGTTGGCCACCAGTCTGTAATTGGCAGCCATCTCTGGATCCAGGGATACCTTCTTTGGGACTGGCTGGACTACCACCTCTTTTAAAGGGGCAGGTACCCGGCCGTCCTTTAGAGAGGCGTTGACAACCTCCAGGATCCAGGCCCCTATCCCGTGCTTGGCTTTGTTAAGTAGCCAAGATGGGCAAGGGTCCAGTAAGCAGGTGGTGGGACGTACTTGTCCAAGCACCTTGTCCACATCATCAGGCTGCAACAACTGGAACTCATCCATCAATTTTGGACCAGACGGCAACATTGGCACCTCCCCAGAAGGTTCTGAGTCACTAGTGGAGTCCAGCTCGTGATGAATCTGAGCGATTTTCTCCTTGAAATGCTTGGCAAAGTCATCACAGCGAGCTGTCGAGGGTGGCACGAGATCTTTCTTGGGGCCCGGATGAACCAGCCCCTGTACCACCCGAAAGAGCTCCGCCGGACAGCATTGTGAGGAGGCAATGGAAACGGAGAAGAATTTATTTTTTGCCGCCCTCACTGCCACTGCATAGGCCCGATAATGGGCTCTTAAGTGTGTTCGGTCAGATTCATCCCGTGATTTCCTCCACTTATGCTCTAAACGTCTCCCAACCCGCTTCATCACCCGTAGTTCAGGTGTATACCAGGGGGATGAACGGGCTCTGCCAGGCAGGAGAGGACACGTAGGAGCAATCATGTCAATACCCCTGGTCATTTCCCCATTCCACAGTTCAACCAAGGCATCGACAGGAGCATCAACCTTATCAACCAGGAATTCCCCCAGGGCCTTCAGGAATCCATCCGGATCCATCTGGCTCTGGGGGAGGACCAACACAATCAGGTCCACACCCTTACAGAGGGAAGGTCGCTCTCAAGCTCAAACCTCATGAGGAAGTGATCTGATCATGACAGGGGTGTCAGACACAAGTTCCTCACCCTCAGATCCCCCTCTTCCTGCCCCATCAAGAAAACCAGGTCCAGAGTGTGCCCACGTTCATGGGTCAGGCCAGTGACATGTTGAGACAGCCCCATGGCCTTCATGGAGGCCATGAAGTCCTGAGCTGCCCCGGTCAGAACAAGTCTTGGTGTGGAGATTGAAGTCCCCCAGGACCAGCATCCTGGGAATCTTCAACACCAAATTCGAGACGATCTCCGTCAGCTCAGGCAGGGAGACTGTTGGACAGAAGGGTGCACGGTACACCAACAGAATCCCCAATCTGTCTTGGTTGCCCAACACCAAGTAGAGGCACTCTAGACCCGGCCTCGAAAGAACAGGAAGCCCCGTGAGGGAAATAGAGGTAAACCAAAGTGACTCCCCCTCCCCTCCCCTCCAGGCGTGGTCGGTGCTGGACCAAGTATCCCGGCGGGCACAGTTGAGAGAGGGACACATCCCCCCCTCCCGCCCAGGTCTCTGTTATGCCAGCCAGGTCGGCCCTCTCATCCACGATCAGGTCGTGGATGAGTGATGACTTATTATGGACCGACCTGGCATTAAGCAACAGCACCGACAGGCCCGGGGGATGGTTGACAAGCCTACCTGGAACCCGCCAGCTGGGGGAATAACCAGAAAGAGGAACAGGTATTAACCATCTGTCCCTCCTCCTTCTATGCAGACTTGTTAAACCCCCAATGCCATAATACCCATTGCCCGTAACCACCCCAGGGGCAGTGCCCACACGCTCTCCAGGCAACCCCATAGTCAAAGCCAAAGATGAATCCATTGAAATAAACTAAAACACATTAAAAACACTTAAAAACACCCCCACAGTCTCCGCAGCCCAATTTACCAATCCCACCCGCCGGCCAACAGCAAAGTCCCTGGCCAGTTCAGCCCCTACATGGCCCCAAACGGTCCCAAACGGCGTCACCGCCCTTAGGCCGATGCCCTTCGGCCACCGGCCCTGGTCGCTGCTGATGAGTTAAAGGTCACAGCCCCATCCCCGCCCCCTGCCCCCAGACCGGCGCAGCTCTCACCCACGCCGGGAGGGGGCAGGAGCAGGGCCCGTGGAGCACTCGCTGGCAGGATGGTGGGCCCGCAGGCCGGCAGTGTCCCGGCTCCCAGTCCCGAGATGGCACCGTCTGTCCCATGAGGCAGCGGCATCCTCAGCGGGCGTCATAAGTATTTTGCTTACTTATTGGGATTATAATTATTTTAGGTATTCAGTGATATTTGTTATGATCTCTAGTTACAACAAATTTACTAGTACTAGTACTACTTGGCAGAAGGATGGGATATAAATGCTTGCTTGTAATAATACTTATTCCTTGAAAAGAAACCATGGAGGGTTTGCTGTGCCTGGAACAACCTATGGAGTACCCAGCAATTTGAATGTGCTTCCTGTAACTTGTTCTCTCCTTTCTTCCCCCTCATTCCTTCAGCTTGCTCTGACCTCTACCTCTTTTCATCCCCTGGCTTAGTTTTCATTGCTTCAAAAATCCACATATGGGTCCATAATATTAAAATGATTGTTGTTGGTCTTTGCAAATGTGAATTTATGGCTAACTGTTATGTGTAAAATTGCCTGGTCAAATTCCTTGTCTGCTTTAGTTGGGGAAAGGAGCAGAAAACAGGAGTATGTAATATAGAAGGAAATTCACAAGACAGGTTTGCATTCAGGGTAATTTGTGCAGAGTTGCTAAGGAGATGTAACAGTAAGGAGGGGGACTCAATACTGCAATATTGTCATGCCTGACGGCTCGACAGAGGCGTCGACTCACGAGAAAGAGTCAAATGTTCACAATGAGAATTAGACATTAGAACAAGGGGACTTATACTTGGGGCCCAGTAACCAAACGACCCCTCTGCAGCATGACTCTGAGACCGCTGAGCAAATAGCCACCCCACAGCATAACGATGAGGCTTCTGCACGGGTGGCTTCTCCTCATCCTGACACTGAGGTGCTTGAACAAGCTCCCCCCCCCCCCCACCTCCTGACTCTGAAGCTGCTGGGCAGAGTTCAGGAGATCAAGAAGAGGGAACAGTGAATTTGGCAGACGCCCTATTTAGGAGGAGTTTACGACATCTGGAACAAATGAGAAGACAGGGCAGAGGTTTGTCCCACCCATGAGCTGAAAGACATGACAGGAAAAGCTAATCCCACGTGGGCTCCTGAGAGACTTCACAAAGTGGGGGGAACTGAACTGCTAGGAGCTTCCCTTTAGAGCTTATCTGTTACATCGTAAATCTTGTAGAAAGTAGCAGTAAAAGACTTTAGTTTTATGGCTGGCTGCTGTGTGAGTTAATTGGAGACGTGAGTTACGACATCATTACAGCTTGCCCCCTCCTTCGTCCACACTCCAGCCCAAACAGGAGCGTTGAATCTCACACAGCCAGGTGAAGATTTTTTTTTTCTCTTTTTCTCTTTCTTCTTTTGGAGCATTGCAACAATGGATCCAGCGGCCCAGGTTCCACCAGAGGTCCAGAATCTGCGAGATGAAAACGCCCTTCTGAGGAACAAATATACAGAGGTCACTCAACAGACAGACGCCCTGCGTGCAGAATTAAATACACTTTGAGCTGCTCAGCCAGCGGCAGTGGCAACTCCCCCACAAGCTCAAGAGTTAAAATTGAGACGCTGCCTGGTAGAGCCTCCCGCCAAGTACGATGGGGGAAAAGAAGGATTTACGACTTTCAAAGCGCAATGTGAGCTGTACATACATCTTCACCAAAACGACTTCACCGATGAGAAGACCAAGGTAGGCTTCTTAATTAATCAACTTACTGGAGCCGCTGTTCCTTGGTCGACAGCAAAGCTAATTGCCCAGGACCCCATTCTGAATAATGTGACAACTTTTCTCAATACCTTGGAACAGTTCCTAGTCATGGGATCTTGCAAAGAGATGGTCATCCATGAAATTAAACACCTGCAGCAGGGAGCAGGCTCAGCTACAGATTACACTACCAAATTCCAACTCTTAATGAATGACTTGGGGTGGAATGAAGAGGCCTTGATGGTGCAGTACCAGGAGGGCCTAAGGGAGGAGATTCTGGATGATTTAGCCCATGCTCTTATGCCAGAGACTTTGCAACCGTTAATGCTTGTGACCATACACCTTGATGCGAGGCTGACTGAGCGGGCACAAGAAAGGTGGGAACGCCGCCCTGGCCCAATGCCAGCTAGAGAAAAATGGTTCCCACGCACAGCAGCCAGGCCCCGTCAACTCCCGCCTGATTACTATGTGGCCTAGGCAACAACTCAGCCAGAGCCAGAGCCTGAGCCGATGCAGCTGGGAGCTGCCAGGCCTCGCATTCCAAGAGGAGAAAGTGATTACCACCATCCAGCCGGACCATGTTTTGTTTGTGGACAGATGGGCCATTTGGCCCGATTTTGTTCGTTGAAAAAACAGGTGGGAAACTTCCAGTCCCAGCATCGTTAAGCACCGTGATACTGGGATCTATAGAACGGTCACAAGGGTGCCTTTCCCCCACAAGACCTTCTCCAACCCGACACCTACTGATTGATGCCATTTTACAGGCACACCCACATCCTGCAATACGAGCCACAGCACTGACTGATAGTGGTGCCACTGCTTTCTTTTTGGATGAGAAATTTGCTGAGAAACACTCCTTTCCTACATCCTTGCTACCAGCCCCACTTCAGGTGGTCTCAATCCAGAAGCGCCCCTTACAGGGAGGCCCTTCCTCTGGCCAGTCCTCCCTGCTCACCCTGCAAATTGGCAAGTATTTTGAACAGACTGCTTTCTTGTTGGTGAAGGGTTTACAGTACCCCTTGGTACTTGACATGCACTGGTTAGTCAAACACAAACCCCAGATATCATGGGACTCTGGAAAAACACATTTCAGTTCGACATTTTGTTCCCAATTGTATTGAACATTTTTTTTTGTTCAATACAATTATTGATTCTCCCAACCAAACTCCTCATATCTCCCCCCTGCCTTCCTCCACCGCTCTTCCTCCCCATTATCAGGATTTTTGGGACATTTTTGACCCACTGGAGGCAGACAAACTGCCTCCTCACCGCACGTGTGACATGGAAATCCACATACAGCCGGGAGCCACACTTCCAGATGGCAAGTTGAGGGCCATGCCAGCTAAAGAGCTGCAAGTCCTTAAAGAATTCATTTCCACCAACCTAAAAAAAGGGTTCATCCCCCCATCTTTGTTGCCTACTTCGGCCACACCCATCATCATCCCCCGGAAAAATTCCAAAGGACCCAGAGTCTGTCTTGACTACCGCAGCTTGAATGCCATCACAGTCCCCAACACACACTCCATGCCACTAATCTCTGAGATTTTAGAACGCTTGGGCCAAGCACGCATATTTACCAAATTGGATCTTCGCAACGCCTACAATTTGCTGCGCATCCGCCCTGGGTTCGAGCACCTTATGGCATACTTGTCCAGATTCGGCACTTTTGAGTTTTTAGTGACGCCTTTTGGGCTTGTAAATGCAGGACAATCATTTTGCAGGCTAGTAAATGAAATCTTCCACGATTTTCTAGATGTCTTTTTGATCGCTTACCTGGATGATTTGTTAATCTTTTCCAACAACCCAGACTCTCACATATGCCACGTATGAACCGTTCTCCAACGTATGCGTGTAAACCACCTCATTGCTAAGCTTGAAAAATGTGAGTTTCACACTTCTTCTCTCATATATCTCAGCTACCAGATTTCCCAAGACGGACTGCAGATGGACCCTGAGAAAGCACGAGCTGTACTATCCTGGCAACCACCACGAACGAAGAGGGAACTACAAAAATTTTGGGGATTTGCAAATTTCTATCACCGCTTCATATCTCACTTCTCTTGCTTGACAGCACCATTGACGGACCTTTTGAAGGAGAAGGGACGATGCCTGAACTGGCCTCCCAATGTTGCATCAGCGTTCGACACCTTTAAACGCCATTTTGCTTCAGAAAACCAGCTGATTCATCCTGGCACATCTGCACCTTTCGTACTACAAACTGATGCCTCCAATAAGGCCATTGAAGCAGTCCTATTGCAGCCACAGAAGAGTTCGGTCAATGACCTCAGACCGGTGGTGTTTTATTCACGCAAACTCTCAAGTTCAGAGTGGAACAACACCATTTGGGAGAAGTAATTGTTGGCGATCAAAGCTGCCCTAGAGGAATGGTGACATTTGCTTGAAGGATCCTCCCACACGGTCCTCATTCAAACGGACCACAAGAACTTGGTCCATTTCGACTCAGCCAAAATCCTCAACCAAAGACAAGCACAGTGGGCTTTGTTCGCCCATTTTCGCTTTCGCATAGAATATATACCACCTTCCAAAAACTTCCTAGCGGACGCTCTGTCCAAGAAACCCAAATACTTTGAAGATAACAAAGTGAAACCTGACCCTGCTCCTATCCTGCAGCCGGAAATGGTTGCCGCAGCCACCACCTCCACCTCCTGGCATACGGACCTTCGCCGGGTCGAATAGGCTGACCCTTTCGTCCGGACCAAGAGGGAAGAAATGGGGACTGGCACCCTACCTGCTGCCTACACCTTCCAGGACAATATCTTGCTCTACAACCAGGTCCCGTACGTACCATTACCACTCAGAGAACGTGTATTGCAGCAATGTCACGATTCCCCATTTGCAGGACATTTTGGGGTTTATAAAACATTGCATACAATTTCCAGAGACTTTTGGTGGCCTTGCCTGAGCTACGACGTCAACTTGTATGTTCTCTCCTGCCCCGCATGCCAACGGGCCAAACGCCAACCCGGCAAACCCCCAGGTTTACTCCAGCCGTTGGAAACCCCTCCTGGCCCCTGGCACACTGTTTCCTTGGACTTCATCACAGATTTACCCCCGTCAAGTGGCTTCACCAACATATTGGTCATCACAGACTTATTCACCAAAATGGCCCACTTCATCTCCTGCACGGGGTTTCCTTCAGCCAACAGCACCACCTCTCTGTTTGTCCATCATATTTATAAGGCACATGGGCGGCCCCTTGCATTAATAACAGACCAGGGCAGTCAGTTCACCTCGCGGTTCTGGCGAGAACTTCAGTCCATGCTCAGAGTTGACCTGTGCCTCTCTTTGGCTCATTACCCGCAAATAGATGGCCAAACAGATGGCTTAACACAACACTCGAGCAGTGCTCGACTTCACAAAGGAGGAGGCACCTGTACTGCTAGGAGCTTCCCATTAGAGCTCATCAGTTACATTGTAAATCTTGTAGAAAGTAGCAATAAAAGACTTTAGTTTTATGGCCAGCTGCTGTATGAATTAATTGGAGACGTGAGTTACGACCTCACGGCAAATGTAGAAACACTGAAAAAGGGCTGCAGGTTAAGAAAGTAAGTGCACCAAACTGGTGGGGAACAACATAAATTGTGATCTTTCTGTTCTTCAGTGAAGCCCATCTTTTCAACATTTCTGCAATCTAGCAGCTATTCCAGGAAGGGAGATATTAACCCCCTCCACACACACACACCTTTTGTTCTCTCCCATTCTACCAAACTCTGCATTTTAAAAAATCAGAAACATTTGTGCAAACTTAGTGTCTTCAAGGGAAATGGAGGGGAAATCTATGCAAATGTAATACAGGGGAAATGTAGAAAAAATTGCACACTTGCAGTAAAACAAAGAAACATAGAAAACAGAGCGAGTCAGAAGGGGCCTCCCGGGGCATCTAGTCTGACCTCCGGCACCAGCCGGCTCCGCTCACGACATGCCCACCATGTGGACGTCCAGCATATCCTTGAACACCCACACCGATGGGGCCTCAACGACCTCTCGTGGAAGCCCATTCCACACCCTCGGGGTCCTGACTGTCAGGAAGTGCTTCCTGGCATCCAAATGGAACCTTGGCTCCCTGAGCTTTGCTCCATTGGAGCGCATCCTGCCTTCCTCTGCAGGGGAGAACAGGTCTCTACCCATCTCCATGTGACACCCCCTCACATACCTGTATGTTGCCAACATATCCCCTCTGAGTCTCCTCTTCTCCAGGCTGAAGAGACCCAGTTCCCTCAGTCTCGCCTCATACCCCATCCCCTGCAAACCGGCCACCAACCTTGTGGCCCTACGCTGCACTGACTCCAACCTGGCTATATCCATTCTGTAATGAGGGACCCAAAACTGAACACAATACTCCAGTTGCGGGCGCACTAGAGTCGTGTAGAGTGGTAGTAATACCTCTCTTGATCTAGAAGCCACACTTCTGGCTATGCAACCAAGGGTGGCATTCGCCCTCTTGACCACCGCATCACACTGCTGACTCATGTTTAGCCTGCAGTCAACCAGCACCCCGAGGTCCCTTTCACAAGTGCTGCTCTCCAGCCACTTGTCACCTAACCTGTACTTGTGACAGCTATTCCTGTGCCCCAAGTGCAAGACTTTGCACTTATCCACATCAAACGCCATCCTGTTGTCTCCTGCCCACTTCCATAGTCTGTCCAGATCCTTTTGGATCTGGAGTACCTGCTCCTCAGTTGTGGCCACTGCTCCAGTTTTAGTGTCGTCTGCGAATCTGATCAGCAGACTGTTCACCCCTTCTTCCATGTTGTTAATGAAAAGATTAAACAGGATTGGCCCCAGGACAGAGCCATGGGGGACCCCGCTTGTCACTGGCCGCCATCCTGATGATTCCCCGCTAATGGTTACCTTCTGCTTTCGGTCAGTCAACCATGCCCTCCACCAGACAGTGCTTTGGTGTATCCCAAAACTCCTCAGTTTCTCCACCAGGGTATCATGGGGCACTTTGTCAAAGGCCTTGCTGAAATCCAGGTATACCACATCCACTGCATCCCCTCCATCTAGCCATCTCGAAACCTTGTCATAGAATTCCACAAGGTTTGTCTGGCAGGGCCTGTTTTTGCGGAAGCCGTGTTGTGTGGCTGTCAGCCTCCCTTCCCTATCTAGCATCACTAGATCTCTATTATGAGCCTTTCCATTGTTTTTCCTACAATGGACGTAGGCTAACTGGTCTGTAATTCCCCATGTCCTTTCTACTACCCTTTTTGAAAATTGGGACCGCTGATGCCACCCTCCAGTCCTCTGGAACTTCACCTGTTCTCCACGAGGTCTCAAAAATTGAGGCCAGCAGGCGTGAGAGAACCCCTGCCAACTCTCTAAGTACTCTCGGGTGTAACCCGTCAGGGCCTGGTGCCTTTGTAATGACCAATGCCCTGAGGAGCCCCTCGACTTCAAGGGGGGTGACTCTAATCTGTGCCCCTAACTCCCCAGCCTCATCTAATATCCTATGCGGATATCCCCCGTCCTGTTTCGGGGAGAACACAGAGGCAAAATAGTCATTTAGCATCTGTGCCTGTTCCCTCATATCAGTCACTGGATCTCCTTCCTCCTTATTTAGTGGCCCCACCACTTGTCTCCCCTTCCTCTTCCTATTTACATGCTGAAAGAAGCCCTTTTTGTTGCTCTTGATATTCATGGCAAGTCTCAGCTTGTAATCAGCCTTAGCCTTGTGAAGAATCCTCCTGCAACGGGCCTCCTCCACCCGGTATACCCTTTTGTCTATTTGCCCCAGTACCCATTCCCTACAGAGGTTCCCCTTTCATCTAATCCCTCTAACCACCTCCTTTTGCATCCATGGCGGCACTCTCCTCCGCCTCCCCGCCTTACTGACTAGAGGTATCGTCAAGGCTTGCACCGCCAAAACCTCCCTTTTGAGTGCTATCCACCCCTCCTCAACTCGCTTACCTTCCAGTAACCTATCCCAGGAGACTTTCCCCAGTCTGACCTTCAGTTGGCCAAAGTTGGCCCTCTTGAAGTCCCAGCTTCTAGTGCTCGACCTGCTGCCCGTCCGCAGTCCCCTGATCTCAAAGCAAAGGATGGAGTGATCACTCGCATCCAGAGCTCCCCTAATCTGTACTTCATCTATCAGCTCCTCCCTATTGGTCAAGACCAAGTTAAGGATGTTTCCCCCCCTCGTCGCCTCTCGGACCCTCTGTGTGAAAAACGCTCCCTCAATAGCTTCTAGGAAGCGACGTGACCTGGCTGTCACCGCTGAGTGAGTCTTCCAAGTAATATCCAGGAGATTGAAATCTCCCATAATTACTGTGTCTCGCCCCCGAGATATCCTTAGAATCTGACCCATCAGGACATCATCCAGGGTCTCAAGTTGACCTGGAGGGCAATAACATACCCCCACTGTCAGGTCTCTTTCCCTGTCAAAACCCCTAAGTTTCACCCAGACTGCCTCTACCGAATCTCCATCTGTGCTGCATTCTGTCTCACTGCATCTTATCCCTTCCCTGACGTATAAAGCCACGCCCCCACCTCTCTTTCCCTTCCCGCCCTTTCTAAAAAGGTGATACCCTTCTATGTTCACATTCCAGACTTGCCTTTCATCCCACCAAGTTTTTGTGATTCCCACCAGATCATACCCTCCTATTCCCAGGAGAGCTTCAAGCTCTTTCTGCTTATTACCCATGCTCCTAGCATTGGTGTACATGCACCTCAACTCCTTCCCACCGCTTCCTTTCCTTGGAGTTCCCAGCTTCCTCCTTCCTCCCATCCTCCCTAATACCTGGCCCCTCTCTGAAGGAGTCCTGTCAGTTCCTGCAGTATCTCTAAAACCCTGCTCCAAGAGCCCTGATCCTCCCCCCACACTTGTCCAGTGCAGACACGTTCCTGGGGGGCCTGAACCCCCCCCCCCCAGCTCAGTTTAAAGTCTTCCGGATGAAGCTCGCTAGAGCATCTCCAAAGGACATTTCCCCCATTCTTGTGAGGTGTAACCTGTCCCTTGCCAAAAGTCCACTGGCACGAAAACGAGTGCTGTGGTCGAGGAACCCAAAGCGTTCCTTCTGGCACCACACCCTAAGCCAGTCATTCACCTCGGAGACCTTCCTGTCCCTTCCTGGCCCAAATCCCTGGGCAGGTAAGATTGACGAAAAGGCACTTGGGCCTTTAGCTCCCTGAGTTTCTTCCCCAAGGCCTTGAAGTCCCTGGTGGTCCCAACCACACCCTGCCTGGGCACATCGTTTGTGCCCACATGGATCACCAGGAGCGGCTGGTGATCCCCGGAGCGAACAAGACGCTCCACTCTGTCCATCACATGCCGGATGCGTGAGCCCAGCAGGCAGCAAACCTCCCTTGTCTCCAGGTTGGCGTGGCACACCGCTGGCTCAGTGCCCCTCAGCAGGGAGTCCCGAACAACAATCACCCACCGCCGTACCTTTCCGGTGCTGGTGGGCGGCCACGCCCTGGCCCTCGCCTCTCCTGCAGTGGCCCCCTTGCCGCCTGACGTCTCAGTCTGGGGTTCCTGCTGGTCCCCTGAGGCCTCATCAGCCCCAGCCTCCCCAAGTGGAGAGAACCTGTTTCCCAGCTCCAGATTGGTGCCAGGAGGAGGAGGAGGCCGTGCTGGCCTCCTCCTCCTGTGGGTGACATACCTCCATGTCTCCACAGCTGCTTTTCCTGTGGTCTCTCCCTCAACCTTCTGTCCAGAGGGGGGCTGCTCCCTGGGGGCCTGGAGGGCTCTCTCAGCCCTCAGGCACCTCACCTCCTCCTCTAGCAGGGTCACCATCTTGCACCAAGGGCAAGTGTATCTCTGTCTCTCCTGGGGGAGAAGGGTGAACATGTCGCAGTGGACAGCAACACCCGTGACTCCTGCCAAGACCTTCCGAGACCTTACCTTGGTCCCCTGCCTTGTTAGTCCTGCAGTTCCTCTCACTCACCCAGTTCTCCCAGATGAAAACCCACTTGCACACATGCACAAGGATAAAATAAACTTAAATTTAAATTGAAGGAAAAACAAAGCACAGCACAGCACAAAAAAATGAACAAACAAACAATCAACCCCTGTGTCTTAGGGAAGGGAGTCTCCGGACAGCCCGGGCCGCAGCCAAGGGACGACCCCCTTCCTCTCCGCTGCTCCTGGCCCTCTGCTGCCCAGCTCCTACCTTGCCTTCGCCAGTGCCCTGGTCACTCAGTGCTCTCTCCCAGCCTCTGCCGCTCTGCCAAAGCAATACTTCAGGTGCATGAATTTTCCATTGATTTCCTAGCCTTTAAATGTGCATGTATTCCCATTCCATTTGCTTTCCTATCCCCCAAATTCTGCGAATATTCCTGAAAGTTTAAAAACCCAGTTCCTTTGAGGGCAGCAGAATAGGAAGGAGAAGTACTGACTCTCTCATCTATGGGACTACACTAACTTTGTACAACACAACCATGTTAGTTTTTTTTTTTTAAGAAAAAAGATCAGGGAACCTTAGCAACTGCTTCAAAAAGATGTGAAGTGTGTAGGGGGTGGGAGAAGTTAATATCCTCCCTTTCTGGAATAGCGGAAGACTTTGGGAAATGTTAAAAAGCTGAAGGACACTGAGAAGTGTCACTATAACAAGAGGATCATATTGTCCTCCTCAGTTTTGGCCCATTTGCTCTGTTCCTCTCCTCCCGAATATTGTTTGTGCTTTTGAATTGTGCTACTAGATCCTCCTTTCTCTTACTTCTCCCCACAATCCTTATTAAGTTGTGTGTAAATTAGCCTTTATGCATCCTTCTCTTTCCAGTTTCCTTCCATTTTGCTGCTCCCTTTGGCAACTTAAACAGACAAGGAAATTGACCAGGCACGACTCTACACAGAAGACAGCCATAAATGAACACTTGTGAAAAACTGTACATTTTAAAAATCAGAACATCAACTGCACAATTTTCAGGCACCAAAAATAAATATAGAAATGTTGAAGAATAAGTGATGGTCCTTCCAAAGTGCTGTTCGAGCATCAGTAGAACAGTCACTGGTGAGACTGTGAAGAGCAAACAGCATGGCATTTTTGCCATTCCTGCTGGCCAGCTCTGTAGTCAAATGTGACAACCAAATGGTTTCCCAATTTCAAACACCATGGCAATCCATCATGGGCATGAAGAACCTACAAGGCATGGATTCCCAGTATAGCTTGTTTGTGCCCACCCCTCAAAAAGCCCACTCTCTGGAAAATGCTCTGAGTTTAGATTACACAATAACTGACCATGACTGGCTGCCCATGGTGGGCTGAGATGCTGCATAAACCACTCAATCAGAGAATCATTGGAAAATGCAGTAAACAGGAATGTTTGGCACAGTCTTTTCCACTGTAATAAAAGCCATTATCCGAAGATAGTGAAAAGTACTTTTAGGCAGAGAATCCTTAAAAGATAGTAACTTTTTAAAAGTATAGCTTTTTTTCCTTAACAAATCAAGGGATGTTCTTGACAAACTATTTGGTTTCAAACTTTGTATGCTCAATTATGAAATACTTCTAGAATTAACAGTAACAGTCTATTCTGAAATAGCATTTAGTTTTTCATCTTGCATTTTATAACAACAAACACACAGGAACACACACATAAGCTTGGATCATTTCAGATGTTTAATTGCTTTAGAATAATCAGCTGTACAAAATTATAAAATTAGAGTGTTATAGCAATTTTATCTCATAAGATGCTTTTAAAGGTATACTTCTATAATCATAAGATTTAATATATGATTAGAGTTTCTTTTTCTCTGCAATGTTACATGTTTTCTTTGCTGCTGTCCTTTTTATGTCATGTTTCTTACAATTGTGGGAGCGCACCTCATTATATAAAATGTGAAACAAGGATCTGAAAACTAAACATATTTCCTAAATAAAAATCATGCATGAAACAGTTAAGCATTTCCCAACATTATACATTTGTAGAAGTAACAATAGTTTTACTCCAGCTTTGGAATTTCCAGATTACAAAAGCAACTACAAAAATATTTTGTGTTATGTAAACCAATTTTTTCAATATCTAATTGAATCAATTAAAAAGAAAGCTTCCAGACACATAAAGAACTGTACACATTTGATGAGATTTTTCCTGACAACCTGCACTGCTATTGTGACCTTTTCTTTGACCATAGCCAACTTTATCAAATGTGCAAAGTAGTTACCTAAACAGGTAGGTTAGGGTTCCCCAGCCCTTTTTTGGGCCCATGGGTACACTTAGTTTTCAGAGTACTCTAGGTGCTCTCACAAAATGGTTGTGGTGGAGGAGCTTGCCCATAAATGAAACAGTTACCATAGTGAGTGCAAGCCAAGCACACAACATGCATTTCCAAGACAGCCACCTGGTTAGACAAGAAGAAAAGTGGAGGTCGGGACTGAGCTTGAAAACACACCACCACTCGTCTTTGAGCCAGAATGAAAATGGCTTGAAGGAAAACATTCACTTTGCAGCATGTCAGACTCAGTCATTTTAGCTTAAATATATCAGGGAGGCAGGGAGCCTGGCAGGCATCAAAGGATACCACATGTCATATTGGTCGCCATGGGGATCATGTTGGGGATCGTAGGGGAAGATCTATATACCCCAAAATATAGGGAGGAGAAGCAGGGAGTATGTGGTGGTTGTTTTTGCCAAAGGGTCAAGTGCAGAGAAAGGTACAGGTCTATTACAGTACTGTGTAAAGTACAGATGAATATAGTTAATTCATCACAGCTATGACTGCACAAGTACTGATTTATATATAAAATACATACTGTATATAAAAACCTAAATGGCAATGACTATTTTCTTTAGTATTTTAGTCAGGATTTATTGAAACCAAATTTCATTGTCATGTTCGGTGGGCAACTTGGGCTCAACAAGTTTTGGGAGGGGACAGCATACTTTTAAAAAATCCATTATTTCATTTACTCTACTGATTTTGATGTGCTTGGTGGGATCTTCAGTAATGGAATAGGTCACACCATGCCTCTTGGAGCTTATTCAGAGGACTACATTTGTGTGCTCCTTTGTTCTCTACATGGACTCAGTTCTCTTGCATCATTTGGGCTTTTGGGCTCATTTTGTTAAGAAAACAGTCATATTTGTGTGTCCTCTGTATGCATTTGACAAAGTGGACTCTGGGTCATGAAAGCTTATGTCAAGATAACTTGTTTAGTCTTTAAGAGGGTAGAGTATAGGCATATTTGCCAAAGGAAATAACACAGCTTCCTCTCTGAAATTTGTCATCAGGAACAAGAAGCAGCTTGAGAACAGCATTATTTCATTTGAGCTACAATGGTTATGAGACTGTAAACAGAAATTAGGGGGGGGGGTTGCACTTCAAATACAAATTCAGTTTCCATTCTAAAAAGAATAAAGCATTTCCAGTTACAAAATCAAAGTAAATTAGAAACCTGTGAGATGAACTGTTTTTTCATGAGAAGTATCTGCTGCTTACTGATAAGAGCATGGGAAAATATCACATTCGTGAACAGCAGTATGGAATACTATATAACTTTTATTTAAATTCACAGTGCTAGTTAGTGTCTTTCTGCTACATTTAGCTGAGAGAACTATTCTATTATTATTGCTTTAAACCCCCTGAAATACTTTTAACGCTTAAAGAATAAAACAAACCTCAAAGTGAGATGTAACATACTGCAGAACAGTAGGTTCATGTCAGAAACACTTACTTCACAAAGTACCAGGGATGAAATTCTCATAAGGCTATGCGGAATAACCCTGGAAATGGCAGAGGATCATGTGTTCCCCACAGCTAATAAGGCATCTGTCACTGCCTTGTGAGGCATCAAGACGGAAAGGCACCTCAAGGAGCCTGGCCAGTTACTCTCTCTCTGTGGCAAATGCTGCAGCAGGACAGCAATTTCCATATTTCTTCAGAGTAGCTACCTGCCCAGTGCTTCACTCTAAGGACCCCTGGATTGTCCTGCCAGGCCTAGACTCTCTGCTCTGAAGGCCTATTTCTCAGGATGAAGCATTATGGACAGGCTGGCCTGTGCCACCCTGGTGCAGGTGGTACCCATGGCTACAGCAGCCACAGTGCCTTACTCTGAGGAGGCCTGCTTCAGAGTAAGGCATAGCAGGCAGCTGTGGGTGGCATGTCCTCCTGCCTCATGCAAGGGACATCTTATGCTGCCACTGTACAATACAAATGCCATGTGCAGCATTTATGACCACAAGAGGTAGAACTTCACCTAGCTTGGATTATTGAAAAAATAATGAATTGAGAATCTTCATGTCATATAAGTCTGTCACTGTCTATTAGCCATGATAAATTAATGTAACTAACATAGTGAGGGCACCATACTTCTGTCAGATATTAAGGCAGGACGTAGGAAGTGCTATTTTCACTTTTCATGTTTGTGTGGTTCTCAAGAACGTCTAGTTGGTCACTGGAAGACTCCATGAGCCTTTGGTTGGATCCAGCATAGGCTGTCCTTCAACCCTAGATTTTGAGAGGCAGTACAGTAGTCTGTAAGACATGGTATAGTCCATTCTAAGTGGGAAAAACCCCTCATTGTAATGTTTAAGTATAGTTTTGCTCTTCCTCACAGTTTTCTCTGGTAAGCTTATTCTAAGATTCAACACTGTTCCAAAAGCAATTTTACATTATTTAAGTCCAGTCTATATATGTAGTTGGTTGCTTCAGTTGTTGGCAGAATCTGTGCCAACTTGTATTAAAAGTAAAAAAATACCCTGGCCTTTCATCCAGTAATCCACTGAATTAGATTGAATTCTCTTATCTCTCCATAATAATAAAAGAGTTATAGTCCCTCCAGAAATGATTTGCCACTGATTATGTACTACACATAAGAGAGATACTTTGTAGATAATCTGCAGATTCTGTAATGAAGTCGGTCCATTCCCTGCAAAGTTCTTCAATGGAGACTGCCTTACCACAATATTCTTCTGGGAGAATGTCAGCTGGAAAGTGTTGTTGGAGGCTCTGTGTATAGTTGTTCCCATGCATGTAGATCTGCAATGACAAACTGTTTACATGTTTACCTAGCTCATCCCAGAAGCCAAAAGGCATTCCCAGAGCACTGTACAATTATAATACTGTTAAGGCAGGTGTCTTAGCTAACAGAAGAACTGAATGTATAATCAAATTCACAAAAAGCATCAAAGTATTTTACTTATCCCATGGAAAAGGGAAGAAACAGCCCTTTCTCCACTTGCTGCTTCAGAACATACAGGAGAATGGAAGGAGAATGTTTCTCTGATTTCACATTGGGCCACTGCAGAAGTTAAAAGCTAACATTACTTTTCCTTCACAGTGGTACCTTGGCTCACAAATTTAATCCGTTCCACAACTCTGACCCAAACTGGCCGTGAGCCAAGTCAAATTTCCCCATAAGGTTCAGTGTAAATAAGGTTAATCTGTTCGGTAACTATTTTTTAAATCACAAAAATTTGAAGCAAAGTGACAAAGAACAACAAAGATCCTGTGGCCATCTTCCCCTCCTCCCCTGCCCTGGGCACAAGTGTAATCATCACCCCATGCAGAGTTTGCCACCTGAGTCAATTTTTTTCTGAAATTTCTGTTCACGACCTGATTTGGTCATGAACTGAGGCGTTCATGAGCCGAGGTACCACTGTACTTTTTTTGCAATTCCCAGAGAACTGTGTTGCTTGGCATGTGATTGGGGCAGTCATCAGAAGGGGGAATACTAGCAGCTGCAGCAAGCTGGAACATTGATTTGTGGAAATATGTTTATCTTATCAGCCTATCTGAAAGGCAAAACCATTCATTTACTTAAGCAATCTAGGCCAGATTGTGCCATTAACAGAGAGGAGCTGCTTGTAGCAAATTCTAAAACAGAAGAACCTAGTATATAGCTGGCAACAACAACAAAAAATATGTTGAGGTTTTTTATGATGTCTTTTTTTACTTGTAAAGGAATTCAGGTCTAAGCTAGTGATAGATGAGCTTCTCCAGGCTTGGCACATAAGTGACACATGTAAAATGAAGCATTTGGGGATCAGTTTGAATTTGATTGGCATTGACATATGTTTTTGTACAGGGAAAATGTGTATGTCATTTGTACTTTTCATTGTGTACCATTTATAATTCGTCCTAACATTAGGATTATTCATTAAGATGAAAGTGGTCCTAAGTAGATGTTCTTTATGGACATCTACTGGGATGTGTTCCAGATAGGAATCTGAGTTCTTGCAATGCTGCCATCATGAATTCTATTTTGAAATGTCTGCAGGTGAACATTGGTTTTACGTAGCTCACGTGTAGACAAAATTACAGACAAAATAGGGATCAGGGCCAGGCTGCTACACTGCTTCCAATGTTGCTTCCCACCTGGTTCTTCCTTTTTGTCATATACACATTTAGCATGGAAGTCTCCAGCACATGAACTGCAGCTCACATGCATATAATCCATGCAGTCCAGACACAATTACACAGAATCCCATGAAAAGTCTGAGAGCAGTTCCCTACCTGTTGATTCTCCTTTCCAGCCTCCTTTGCTAAGCACTTGGGCAGCAAGAGGACAAAGCTAGTAGGGGATTTTACATTGGAAAAATGGCCTGTTGTGAGCTCGTCCTGTGCTTCATTCTTCTTGGTTCTAAAAACTCAATACAGTCTTTCAAAATGCAATTCTTTTATTGAGACTCCACAGATAACAGAACAGTCTGAGTGCTAAATTGCCTTCTATGAAAGCCAAAGATAGAAGCCTCTGTTCACATAAAGGGCTGTGTCCAAACTGGAATCTTCCCCTTGGTGCCTCCCTTTCAGTAAAGCTTCTGGCAGCACCCTCAGCATGGTTCTTGCTGCTCAACAGCAAGATGGTGCAAACAGTGAAGCTTCTCCAACTGAAGAACTTGTTTCTCCCAACACTTCCTCACTGGGTCAAGGACTGGGCCTCACACCTGCTGTCCCTCCTCTCCTGTAAACCAATTTTCCCCTTCTGAAACAGGCTGATTTTCACGTTTGGTCTGAAAAACTTTACTAGCTAAAGTTGAAGGAGCTATAAAGGGTTTGTCCCCCTGCCCACTCCTCTTCCTCCTCTAGTTTAGAATCTGAAGACTGCCACTGAAGAGTCTGCCATTTACAAAAGTCTGACCTACTCTCATAAGCCATAATTATGTTGACCATAAGGAATACATGAGCAAACTTTGCATCTGATTGTGAAGGGGGACATGGTAGACTGAAGGGGGACATGGTATCATTCTATAAGTACCTCAAAGGCTGTCTCATAGAGGAAGGTCAAGATCTCTTCTTGCTGATACCAGAGTGTAGGGTACAGAACAATCAAGTCAAGTTGCAACAATCCAGATTCAGGCTGGACATCAGGAAAAGCTTCCTCACTGTCAGAGCAATATGACAGTGGAACCAGCTGCCCAGAGAGGTGGTGGGCTCTCCCACACTAGAGACATTCCAAAAGAAACTGGACAGCCATCTGAGTGGGATGGTGTAAACTGGTGTCCTGCAACAGCAGGGGGTTGGACCCAATGGCCTTAATGGTCCCTTCCAACTCTTCTATGAGTCTAAGTAACATTATGAATTCACATATGAAACAATATTAATGGAAATTTGAAACTTATGGGATCCTGCTGAATAAAAATGGACATTTCTTGTAAGAAGAAAAGAACAAATAGGATAATAATGTGTGAATCCCATAGAAAAAATATTTGCATTCACTCACCCGTGCCTTGATTTTTTCAGAGAGAAAGGGCTTAATTAGAGTAAAGACAGGATGAAAGAACAAAGGCTCATTGATCAAATGGATCCCGCGAACCTTTAGTGGAAAGGAATCCTGCCAAGAGGGGAGGAAAAAACACAAGACAGTGAGCATAAATCAAGGCAAGCACCCTCTTTATTCTAATATCATATAAGCAAAAGGCTACACATTCAAAGTACAGAAAAGTGTTCTGAACTTAGCCATAACTGCATTATGAAGAATGCAAGTAATGAACTTATAAAAGGGTTACAATATGTTCATCTTTCAGAAAAGGAAAAAAGAAAGAAAAAGACAGGCAGAGCTTAGTTGAGATATGCAGGCTTCCCTGCTCCCCTTCCTACCTTCTTGGCATACCATAATGAAAGATTTCCTCAGTTAATCAGTCATAGTTTCTCCATTAGATCTGAACTTAGAAACTGCAGTTATCAGGAAAAAAATAAACCAGGATCTCAAACCAATTTAAAATTCTAGTTTCAGATCATGGTTCTGCACATAAAAAGACACTATAGTTAACTGAACCCAGCAAGTCATCAATAATTGCACACTGAGAAGGGAGCAGGGAATAGATGTCATGAGCATGCAAACACAAGGCCCAAGCATGTCTTGACTTGGTAAGTTGAAATGTGTTCATCCAAACCAGGCCACCATTAGTCACAGTCTGGTCAGTGTTTATATAAGCAATTGTCACCCAGGACCTCTTCATACAACAGTTTGAGTTCCATCATGGAGAAAAAACAGGGTATAAGCATAATGCAAAGATAGGATATTTGTGGTGGCTATATGTACATTTCTGAGTAACACAGGGAGGAATACATATGGAAAAAGAAACTAGGTGTTAGTGAAAAACAACTATTTCAAAACAAGATTTCAGTTTCCTGTTGTTCCTCGGCCATTCAGAAAGCAAACACTAGAACTGTAAAAGATAGGGCTATGTTGCTCCAGACTATTATATAATGAAATACTGTTTACACAATGCTGGTAACATTAGTTTAATGGTCATTTGCATTATAAATATTTAAACATGAATCTAAACCTGTAAAAAAAAAAAGCAACAGCAACAGCAAAAGAAAAGAATGCCTTTGTTGGAACCAGGGCATATTAAAAATGTTTGGTTAACTCTCCTAAGAATTCCAAGAAATGCTCTCCTAAATTGACAGTTGCTAAGTCCATGACTCTTTAAAGAAAGAAAGAAAGAAAGAAAGAAAGAAAGAAAGAAAGAAAGAAAGAAAGAACAAACTTTATTTTTCCTACTTGTAGGGCTTTCCACTATGGGAAACAGAATAATGAACTGGATAGGTGAACCAGCAGGCCCTTTCTAATTATCATGTTCCCCACTTTACATCGGTGCTCTTACCTGTCCTATTCACAAGATTAAACATCTCAAATATCTTAGCAAGATTATTTTAGTTCTTTCCCTTTTTAAAACCACATAGGGTGCAATCATATGATGATGGTCACAAGCCCGCAATCTTAGCAGTCATCTAGTGCACAGCAGGTGGAGTGGTGAAGACAGTTTTTGCTTGTCTGTCCTCTAGTCCTGCATATGCTGCTAGCTAAAGCATCTTGGAAGGAAATAGAAGAAAGCCAGAGAAGTATACGGAAAGCACATACCTTGGATCCTTCTGGGCTTCTCCTCTGCACAAAATGCCCCCTTCTTTCCATGCCAGCTGTGAAGGGATGTGGGAGTGGAAGCAGCCATCAGATTTCCTGCTGTGTCGTCAGAACACCATCCCCAGCCTTGGATCTGGGGGTGCAAACTATTTCTCTTCAGATACTGTCTAGGTGCTATATGGTTGCACTTCTTGTATTTAAGGACACCTTTTCTTTTTCTTCTATTTCTTTATTTTAGTACTACAGGTTCAGATTCATGTTTTGGTCAAATGATCATTAAACCAATGTTAACAACATTGTGTAAATATATTTCATAATGTAATAGTCTGAAGCAATATAGGCCTACCTTTTCGAGTTCTAGTGTCAGCTTTCTGAGTGGCCGAGGAACAATGGGAAACTGAAATCTTGTTTTGAAGTAGTTTTTTTTCACTAATACCTAGTTTCTTTGAATTCCTCTCTGTGTTACTCAGAAACGTACATATAGTGAGCACAAATATCCTATCTTCATATTATGCTTATAGCCTGTTTTTTCTCCATGATGGAACTCAACCTGTTCTATGTATTTATTTATTTGTTTATTTATTAAAACATTTTTATGCCGTGGTAGTGGGTTACTACAAACAAAGGTTACACTCTAATGACCGTACCATGCACAGCTCTGTTTATTGTTTTATGGGCCAAGCTGGAAAGTGCTTCACTTCTTCCTCAGCAGTCTTGTGTGGTATTTTAAGGATAGAATGGTGTTATGATATTGAAGTACAGCTACCTTGTTTTACAAAGAAATATACGGGAATCCAGAGTAGCACTGAGCAAAATTCTGCTCATTCTAGAGAAAGACAGCAGAGAGGTGGTGTTTGCAGCTCCTGCTTCCCCTTCCACCCTCTGTCTGTGCCTCCTGTGCCCTGTACTCCTGGTGTTCTGGAAGGCTATGGAATGCTTTGGAGAAGTGTGACAGGGAGCTGGTGGGAAGAAGGCTGCAGGGATCAGCAAAAATTGTTTCTCCAGCTCCGTCCTCCAACTTGTTGCCTCTTCTGGATCCCTACATCTTCCATGAACAAAGGAAGCCTTTCTGCTTACAGCATGACCAATCTAGACCCAGCTACCTGAAATTATTTTTATTCTGTAGTACTGGAGAATGATTATGATAAATCTGTACCCTTTCCTCACAACCTAGTTCAACTCTGTTAATTTAAAGCAGCACAGTAACAGGAGGCTGGAATGCAGCCTAATAGCTTCTCCAAACTGGAATTTAAACCTTGGGCTGAAAGAAGTTCAACCTCATCCCATGCCAAAAATCTTAGGCCATCAAAAAACACACATTAAGCCATACTGAATACATTTATTTACAGCAGGAACCCCGTATCTGCTGGTCAATTACTGTGTTTTCACTTAACTGCAGCTGACCTCATCCAAAGAAAAGGCATAAAGTTCCAAAGAGGATTCTCGATTTAATTGAGAAAGAAAAAGAACTGTATGCTGAGATTGTTAGGATCTATGGTAAGAACAAATCTTCTGTCCAAATAATGTGAAAAAAGAAATGTACATGTACAGTTCATAGTGTTAGTTGGGAGGCTTGGACATATTTTCATGAATATTGTGGGCCCTGCTGTATTTCCAAATGTATAAAAGATGGGATTCACTTGCTTCCTTCATTTACTAAAACCAGAGACATAAGCTGATCACTGAAATTAAGCCCCAGAACTTACTGTGAGCACAGAAGCTATTCTTTTTGCTACTGTTGGAGAGATCTGCAGGGCATGAGCAAATCTCCATCCTTGGAGATCAAAGATACACTTCACCCCATTTCGCTGTGTGTCTACCTCCCTTACGATAAGCTCAGATGTGATGAGACTTAAACGGAACACATCAAATGCTGTAAACATCTTTGGGTCCCATCGTGCTAAATGAAAGGAAGAGAAGGTCAGTAAGCAAACATTCCTGCCAATGTCAACAGAACTAAAAAGGCTTAAACCTTGTACTTTGGCTTAAACTGGGTTGTGTGCTGGACCACAAGAGTCCACAAAAGGCAAAATAAAGGCAAATAACTCAGTTACTTCAGCAAGCCTTCCCGATCATGAACTATTCTGAGCAATGAGAATGTTTAACTGAACATTTGCTGGGGTTATTATTGTTGATATGTTTGTTGCAGCGTGGACACTGCTCTTCACTTTTCCAGCCAGCCAGATTGTAACCCCTCATCACCTCCTGTTTCTCTGTTTCTTCTAACATCCATTCCCACTGGGCTGTTCTGTAATTCCCTACCCTAAAATTTTTCTTTTTCTCTTAAAACTTTTTATAGTTCTGCAAATTTGGATTCAAGGATTATATTCCTCTTGTATATCAATAATGCTGTTTTAGCTACATAAGGATAATCACTTGGAGTATGAGTTTAGTATTAATTTAAGGGTTTCTGTTATAAGCTACTCTAAGATGTCTAAAGAATTAATTAGCAGAGCAATAAATTATATAATGAATGAACACTTAGAACATTCTACATTTTAGATTGTATTTATATATTGATTTAAAATATGTCATCGTTTCAGGAATAATTCCTTTCAAGTCAATTTCCAACAAGAATTAAAACAATAGTAAAATGAATCATATTCCAGAGCCCTGTATCATTCCCTTTCCAAATGGTATGTTTATGAAGCAGTATGTATATAGTTCTTTCTCATTTGTTGCACAAGACCCAGTACAACTTCCCTGCCCACACCCTAGTTAATTGCTTTCATTTTCAGTAACCAGGCTTCATACTTTGCCTGTACTTCAATTAGACCCCATGCCAAGGAGAAACTGACAAGGAGCTTTTCCAGATGTTGTCTGCAGAGTAATCAATTTGATCTACAGTGTAGTCAATTTGACTACAGAGGAGTCAATTTGAACTACTACCTCTGTTCAGAGACTGAGAATTCTCTTTCCTATCTCAATCCAGGCAAGACTGAGATGCTGAGGTGGTTATTTGACTGGATGGCAGGTGTTCAACCTGTTCCAGGTGGGGCTGCGCTCTCCCTGAAGGGGAGGGTTTGTAGCTTGAGGATTTTCCTTGACCCATCTTTGTCACTTGAGGCTCAGATGGCTTCAGTGGCTTGGAGTGCCTTCTACCAACTTCAGTTGGTGGCCCAGCTATGCCCCTATCTGGACAGGGATAGCCTGGTTTCAGTAATCTACACTCTGGTGATCTCTAAATTAGATTATTGCAATGAACTCTATGTGGTTCAGAACCTGCAGCTTGTGCAGAATGCAGCACCCAGATGAATAACCTGGACCTGTAGCTCTGAACACATAAAACCAGTTCCAGTTCACTTGCATTGGCTTTCTGTATGCTTCTGGGCCCAGACAGCTTTGGCTATGGCATGGTATAGAAATGAAATAATGATTATTGTTGATGTTGTTAAGGGTGCTGGTTTTAACCTGTAAGGAATTACTGTGATTGGGACCTGTTGGAGCACCTCTCCCAACTGTAATCTACTCAGATACACTCAGACCTCTGGGGGCTTCCTCCAAGGGCCAACTCAGGGGGTGACTGAGAGGGTGGCAACAAGGGAGAGGGCATTCTCTGCGGTGACCTCTCATCTTTGGAACAACTTCCCTACTGTGCCCTGCCTGAAACCAAGCTTGTCATTTTTTTCAGCACCAGGGTCTGATGCTGAGGCCTTTAAAGACTGACTTGAATACCCAGGGACTTCAGGTGTTTTTAAAGACTCATTCTTTGTTGCTGTTTGTTTTAGCAGTTTTACACTTTTAATGTTTCCCTAATTTTATGGTATGTTATTTGATTTGTCTTGTTTTATGGATTGAGGTAAACTGCTGAGAGAGTGTCAGCTATGAGGTACTATAAAAGCTAAATAAATATGCAGAAATATTCACTCTTTAAAAAGAAGGTAGCATCCATCCCTCATATATCTGCACAATAAAGCTGGCACATCCTTAATCTTTATGTGGACTGGATATCATCTAGTTGCTTTTAACTATTCCATAAAAGCTAAATTGAAATGGGACATGATTTTGACAGACTGTCTAGAGAAGCCCAAAGGCAATCTAGTGGCAATGCTTGTTTATTCTGTGTGTTATGCCAGGCAAACTTTAGCAACTATGATCCTGTGCAGATGGCAACATGCCCACTGCTTTCCTATCTTGTGGCAAATGAGTCACAATAATTTTGGCAAATACATTGAAGTACAGCAAAAGCACACCATTGATTAATTAAGTATACTATTTTATGAAAGTGGAGAGCAGGATAGTTACAGTGGCTACACTGTGAAGTTTCCATGCCATTAAATCAAATCAAATCAGGGCAACCACAGGGGCCTTTGTAGTAATTCTCAATTTCTATCATGTCTTAAGGAAACAGTTACAATACAATAAAGGCAAATGGTGTGACAGCACTTAATTTAATCTTCAGTCTAGAAATGAACAGATCTAAAGGATCATTGATTTCAAAGACTGAAGAGCACAGTGATTCTAAGTGTGTTATTAATGAATGAATGCAACAGGTAATTGAATAGCCATTTTAATTATTGCAATGCTGCTTAAATCTGCAGTTGGTACAGAGGCTTGGAGAAGTATTCACCCTACCCTCTTTTGTCTTTTCCACATTTTGTTGTGTTACAACCTGGAATTGAAATGGATTTGATTGGCATGTTACTACTCAATGTACATACAAGAGTCTATACTGGGAAGGTACAAACTATTTTAATTGTGGTAGACCCACATTATATTGATTCCAAAATATTGATTGAAAAAAATAAATGAAAGCAATGCATAGATACAGCAAAGGGGTAAAATGTTATTATTTATTTCATTCTACACCACCCCATAGCTTAAGCTCTTGGTAGAAGCATATTTGGCAATAATCACAGCTGTGAGTCTGCTTGGGTAAATCTTTAACAACTTTGTACACCTGTAACTTGTAATCTTTGGCCTTTCTTCCTAGCAAAGCTGCTCCAGCACTGCTAGGTTAGACAGGGACTGCTGGTGGACAGCAACTTTCAAGTCTTGCCACATATTCTCAGCTGAATTGAAAATGACTGGGTCATTCTAGGACTTTCAGGGTCTTTTTTTAAATCATCCTGTGTTCTTTCAGCTTTTTGTTCAGGGTTACTGTCCTGCTGGAAGGACCTGTCCCTGTCCCCTTGCAGACAAACTAATTTCCTTCTATATTTGGCTCCATCCATCCTGCCCTCAATCCTGAACGATTTCATAGTCTTTGCCAGAGAAAAGCACCCTCACAATGGGATGCTGCCACCATTATGCTTCAATTTTTTATTGCTGCTATTATTTTAGAAATTCTGTGAATTGTTGTGTTCCTTGCCACATGTAGTGTTTTAAACTCTTGTACTTTGTTTACATTGTATTTTATTGTATTTTGTATATTGCACTAAAGTATTTTGTAAACTACCCTGAGAGCCCTTTATGGCTACGTGGCAGGATAGAAATTTAATTTAATAATAATAATAATCTGGGATGTGTTCTCAGAAAGATGAGAAAAATATCCTTTCGGCTTTGACCGAGGCACTTCATTCTTTCTGGTGCTACTAGTACTAGCCTTCCGCTCTTCCTCAGTAGCATATTGGACACCTTCCGACCTGAGGGGCTCATCTTCCGGCGTCATATCTTTTTGCCTTATGGTACTGTCCATGGGGTTTTCATGGCAAAGATACCGGAGTGGGTTGCCATTTCCTTCTCCAGTGGATCACGTTTTGTCAGAGCTCTCTGCTATGACCTGTCCATCTTGGGTGGCCCTGCACGGCATAGCTCATAGCTTCATTGAGCTACGCAAGCCCCTTCACCACGACAAGGCAGTGATGTAACCTGTTAAGCTCTAGTAAAAAGACTGTGCTACTTCAATATCATTTGAATTTGCTGGGAAATGAAAGAAAGGGAGGCAGACCTGCTCACAACAATGTTCAGTATTTGGGATATTTTTTAATAGCCCAACCTTCTGAATAGCTTTATCCTGGAGTAGGATGACAGCTCTTGGTTTTCATGATTCTCTTTGTGTCTTCCAGAAATAGGTTTATTTAATTTGTGATCATGTAGTACTAGAATTGCATGCAGGTGGACTCCATCCAAATATTTATAAGTGACTTCTGGGGACAGCAGGTTGCACTAGAACTTGTTTAGGCCTATCACAGCAAAGGGGATGCATATGCACACAACTAACAACATCAGTTTGTTTTTGTTCCTATAATGTTTGTGCCACAATTAGAATATTTTGCACCTTCACAGTGTTAATTATATTGTGTATATCAAGTGGTAAGAATGTTAAGTAAATCAGTTTCAAGTTGTAACACAACAAAATGTGGAACATTCAAATGGGATAGGTTGAACACTTTATTTATTTATTTATCAATTTATATCATGCCTTTTTCCTACAAAGGGCTCAAAGCAGCTTATATCTCCTCCTCCATCTTATTCTCACAACAACCCTGTGAGGTAGGTTGGGCTGAGAGTCTGTGACTGGCCCAATATCACCCATGGCTGAGTGGGGACTAGAACCCAGATCGTCTGAGTCCCAGTCCCATGCTCTTAACCACTATACCACACTGGCTCTCTTTAAAGTACTATGGGTTTTAATTTACTGATCACTCATTAACCTCCCCTGTACTGTGCAATATAAGCAAAAATCATTCAGTTGCATTTTGCTAATTTTCATTGCCAAATGATCTGTACAATCAGAAATTAGTCACAGTGGCAGTTAATTAAAGTAGAAAGTCAGTTTAATAATTCATGAATCATAAAAAAAAGTTTCAAAACATTTGGTGTCATAGTGATTGATCTAGAATTTGGTTTAAAGAATATACCTCGATATAAGAGCATGCCACTTTCCAATGTCATAAAAGAAAAGCGACTCACCAATTCTATAAATGAGAACTTTACTGCCACTTGGGTCCCTCTCTTTCAATACTCCATGATATCCAGCATGTAGCAGACTTAAAACAGAGTGGGGCCGCAGATCTGCAGTTATCTCTGGGCATTCAGCTCTCCACTTGTGATAGTTTTTCAATAGCTGGGGAAAGAAATAGTAGGAAAAAATGGGTATATGGGAAAGATCTTGTACCGTTAAACATTACTCCTCTCCCATTTGTTTTTCTACTTTTTTTACTCACGGTACATTCCTTTAAACATTTACCTGGGAGTCAAACCCTCCAAATTTAACAGACATGTATAAAGACATATATTTTAGCACTTTAGTCAGATTACTCTTTAATTTCAGAAGCCCCCACCTCTTGCTCTTCTATTCTGCAAATAATTTGGCATGAACAGAAACCAATGATTTTAAAACAAAAATTTTGATTGTTATTTTTAATTCCAAAATCCATAATTTGTGTAATGAGGAAACTAGATGGCTACTAAAATGAGCAGGCCTTAGAGAGCTCCAGGCAGCTTGGATCCTCATCAGGCAACTTGGTAGCAAAACAGGTGTGTGGAGGTGGGAGAGATTTGATGTTGGAGTAATTATCACAATCTTGAGATGGAATGAGGTAGGAAGGTGCTGCAGACATTCAAATAAGACTCTAGCAGGGGAATGTCGAGCTTCTTTCAGCCCAAGGACTGAATCCCAGTTTGGAGAAGCTCCGGTAGTGGATGAAATTAAATTGCCAACATATTATATCTTAAAGCTCTTACTGCCAGTGATTAAGCCCTAGAAGAGGCTTTTCATCCACTATAGAATTGGGGAGGGTGGGAACTCCACAAAAACCCGGAAACCACCAAAACAAATTAGTTGTCAAGTACCCCAGAATTTGCTTTCAATATGCAAACTCATACAAAATTAACAAAGCTTTGCCAAAACTTTGAATTGTGCAATGGATTGTGCAAGCAGTTGTGCAACTGGTTGCATAGCAGGAAGTGAAAGAGTAATAGGCAACTGTTCGCACAACAGGTTTTACAATGGGTCCGCAGGAGTTACATGTGACTGGTTGAGAATGAATAGCACAACTGCACTTGCACAAATGAAAGTTTAGTTGGATTTTCCTCTAGCAAATAATTTGGAACCAAGTCTTTGCTAACACAGCATCATTTGCACTAACATGACACACCTGGGTCATGGCCCATTCTATCCTTGCATATGTACACAGAGATGTAAATGTAACTTTGAATCTTGCCTTTAGTACAACCAAGCACACTAACCCTGAATGACTGTCTGCCTGCCTGTCGTCATTATCACCACCCCAGAGGACCCCTGGAAGGCCAGATTTGACTCCCTGATCTGAGGTTCTGCACCCCTGCCTTAATGGTGGTCCTTTGCAAAATGTTGGGTGATAACAATAACATCACTGCAATGATGAGCCTGATAAGAAATGATCATATGTACATTCCTGATGTCCCTGATAAGATATTTGGCTTGCTGGCCAGTCTTGAAGGTCACTGAGTGAACTTATACTAGTCAGAACAGCTCAAGCTGTTCTAGCACATGCAGATATTAAACCCTGTGCTCCTAGGAGAAAGGACAATGCACAAACATGGTAACACAAGTTTGCAAAAGCTTCGGCGAATGGGGCGGCATAAAAATGTTTTAATAAATAAATAAATAAATAAAAAGTGGATTAATTATACCATTCTTCTACACTGACACTTAGGCAATAATCCTATTTCACTTATGAGGGCAAAAGCCCTATCAAATTCAATGGAACTTACATTTGAGTTAGCATATATAGGGGTGCACTGCAGCTGAAATGCATTTTATTTATTTAAAGCTTTTATATCCCATCTTTTAGTGTTGAAGATATAAGTTTCAACATCCCTTCAGTGTTGAAGATACATACTATTTTTCACAGGAGGGTTATCTAACAATAAAGATCTTTTTACTGTTGTACACAAAATAGCTCAATTTGGAATCAATAATGGCTTTCTTTTCAGATGAAAAGACTAAATATCTTGTTTCCACTGGCATTCAGGAAAAGGTAAGGCAGAATTCAGTAATATTATACCATGCTGCTATCCCACAAGAACCCAAATTGTATTTAATTCTTATATTTTGAAAAGACATATCATGTAATACATTCCACAGGGGAAGAATACAATTTCTCATAATTTCTATTATGTTTTGATTACTATTATTTGTCAACAATGGATTTGGTTTGTTTAAACTAAAATGAAAACATATTTCATGTGTTACCTAAAATAGCATCTCCTCTCATATTTATCTACCCAGTCATTAGGAACATAATCTAGGGCCTGCCTCCACCAGATGAGACAAGGCAGATGGCTACATGAGAGGTCTTTTCGGTGGTGGCATCTTATTATTACAATGCTTTTTCCAAAGAGGGTCCTCTGGCACCTCATCTGTCTTTTCAAAGCCAGGCGAAGACCTAGTCAGTTTCCCACTAAGAATGGTTTTAGCACTTTTAGTACAATATTATATTACTGGTTTTAATTGGGCTTTATAAGCTGAAACGGTTTTAATCTTTGCTCTAAGTGTTACCCTAGTTTAATTCTGCCATATTTTTATTTTTAATGCTTGGATTTTCTATTTTAATGTAGTGGATATTGCCAAGATCATTTCAGTTTTAGGAAGTTTGAACATATAGAAAATAAGGCTTCAATCCTATAGCCACTAAATGGAGTCTAGCCAAGCAAAGGAGAGGTCAGAGCCATGACTCCAACCTCCAAGAGTGCTTATTCTCAACCAACATGGTTCTTTGTGTGCTAGCTGCCACTCCAAGGCTGGAAGAATGGCTTACAGGCAGAAGTCTTTTGGGCATTCTAGGGGCAAGGAGGGGAAGGGTGAGGATCCACCATAATACCATGCATCCTTAGGGTACTTCAGCCACACGCACCTGGGCAAAAGCCTTAGACAGTTGAAATCTGCCATCTAAGACTTTGACAGGATGGGAGAAGAGCAGAGGTGAGTTTCACCTCTGTGCACCTTCTGTTGGATTTCCATAAGCCTTGAAATGAGGAGGGTTACAGATATCCACAAAAGACACGTTAAGTATAACTAAAATCCTTCAAAATGTAGTCTTTACTTTGGACCAAAGCCATTTATACTGGCTATCCTTTAGTAACAACAAATCTTCCAATGACTAGTATGCTGATATTTGAATGCACTAGCCTATGATAAATGTGAAGTAAACATTATGAAATACAGAACAGTTCTGATACATCAAAACTGAATAGCTAAGTATGCCAAGCAAAGCAGTTAAATTTTATAGCAATTGTGAAGGAGAACCAGCCTCCCAGCAAAACATACAACTTCCTGTGAGTGAGAAATTCAGTAACTTCACCCTATTATCCAACAAGGCTGGCTCTTTCTGCTATAATATAGTTAGTAAACTTTGGTAGAAAGTATTAGCTTCTTTCTATATCAGTGTATGTGCAACATTTAATTTGTTTCCAGTTTTGTCACTCATTGTTCCAAAATGGTATTTGTATGTTTCATCTTATTCCTGGAATTGTGGTCTTTTCTCCCTCAGCAATATGTACAATGGTATTTTCACAATGCAGTTGTGAATGAATCTGTTCCAGTTGACGGGAGCCATCAATATAGCTAGTTCCAGCCATGAACATTGCCTGAAAGTAACTTTGTTGATGGCTTTGTCATATGCCAAGTAATTAACACTATTCTTAATTCATGAGAGTTATGAAGAAGATGAAGTAGGTAAACTGAACGGTAGCTGCCCTACTGGGAAAACTTTTATTCCAATCCAGATTTTTTTGTGAACAAAATGCCTTGGCTTCAGTGAGTTGTGCACATCTGCAAAAAGCCAGCCATTATGGACACTTTCTTTCTTAATTAATTAATTACACAAGATGTGACAAGTGCCTAACATTAAACAGGCCATTCACATATAGTTTTAGCAGTTTCTCACAGTGCTTCTTGTATGAAACTTCCAAATCAATCATTTTTAGGCTTTCACCTGGAAATACTTAAGAATGAAGTCTTGCTTCCCAGATGTTGGGAACAACGTACGGTGGTGTCTCGGCTCACAAATGCCAAATCAGGTCATGAACAAAATTTCATAAAAATTTTGACTTGGGTCGTGAACTCCACATTGGGTGGCAACCAAGATCGCGGCCATCTCCCCCCCCCCCACCCTGAGTGGGGAGATGGCCACGATCGCAGTGGTGTTCATGCAGGGAAGATGCGCGTGATCATGGGCGTGCTCCTTCAGGAAAGACGGCGCAATCTCGGCCATCTTCCCTCCCCCGCAACCAGCACAATCGCAGCCATCTCCCCACCACTTCACCCTGAGTAGGGAGATGGCCATGATCCCAGTTGTGTTTGTGCAGGGAAGACACAGAGGAGCTGACAACAGAAGAACTTGCTGAACTCCAGAGTGAGCAGCAGAAGGTACTTGCTGAGGAGGATCCCTCTGAGGAAGAGGAAGACAGGGAGGAGGTTAGCAGTGATGTGATACAATCCATTACGAAAAAATGGAATGAGTGCCAGGATTTATGACTTTATGTTGTGAGCCGCCCCGAGGCTTCGGTGAATGGGGCAGCATAGAAATGTTTTAATAAATAAATAAATAAATAAATAAAATTTCTTTGAGAAGCACCACCCCAATATAACTGTAATGAACAGAGTGTTGAATCTGATGAACGATAACATGGTCTCTCATTTCCGGAGGGTTATGCAGCACAGGAAAAAAACAAGTGACTATAGACAGATTTTTCACCAAAATTGACCCTGCAGCTAAGAGACAAAGAAGAGAGGAAACCCCTGACAGAGATCTCTCGAATGTCCTTATGGAGGGGGACTCTCCCTCCAAATAATAACCTGCTCCCCACCTAAGTTAGTGTTCTCTACTATACTGTACAGTACTTGGTCACTTTGTTGTTCTTTGTCACTTTGATGTTCTTTGTCACTTTGTTTCAAATATTTCTGATTAAAAAAAATAGTTACAGAACGGATTAACCTTATTTACATTGAACCTTATAGGGAAATTTGACTTGGCTTGGACCAAAAACTGGCTCACAACCACATTCAGAGGGCCCAGAATGGATAAACCTTATTTATATTGAATCTTACGGAGAAATTTGACTTGGGTCACAACCAATTCGGGTCACAACCAGAGTCATGGAACAGATTAAGTTCGTGATCCAAGTTACCACTGTACTTAAGATTCTCAGTAACAGATATTTACCATTCTTTACCCTTTCTTTTAACTACCCCAGCTAAAAGCCACGATTCTCCATGCATTGGCTCAATACTTTAAAAAAACTCTTAAAACTAGTGGGTTTTGCCAAACCTTGTAGCAGCAAATTCTGTAAGCTAATTGTGTATTATGCAAAGAAAGCTTTCATTAAGATTTTCTAGAGGTCTCAGACATATAGAGACTGTACAAAATTCTGAAAATCTGTCTGTTGTATTTTATTCAAATCATTGGTGTTCAAACAATGCTACTGCTATCCCAATCTCCTTTTTTACACACCCAAATAATGCAAGAACAGGGTTGGATTAAATTGATTAAAAATTAATTTTGCTGATGGAGGGCCCTAAGTTTAGCATCACTTTCGCTCATGCATTTGTAGGCTACAGCCGAGGACCAAATTGTGCAATCAAGGACACTCTTTGTTAGGCAAAACACACTGGAAGCAGAGGAAATGTCCTGGCATAGAACCAAATGGTTGGCATGTCCCAGACATAAATCAGCTGATAGGGAACACAAAAACCTGGAAACTGTCCAGTTCTTACTATGGTTCATTTTCCATTTTAAAGATTTTTGAAGCACTGAATAAAAAATCGTACTGGCATATCATCACTTTGTCTTCCTTTTGGAAATAAGTATGTCTACCAAGAATAGCAGCAACAACTTTTTGCTATAGGTGCACTCATCATGGTAAGACGTACAGCAATCTAAATTCCACTCAAAATAAGCTATTCTAATTCCATGCACTTGCAAAGCATAGGCAATATGTATGTTGCCTTTTCCATATTAGAATGCAGTTTTTTACTGCAGTTTTGCAAATGGTCAAGGCTGCTGGATGAAGGAGTGATAACAGATTTTCTTCCACAGCCCATTGCCATAAACAATGTTAGTGCACATACTTTTGTTATTGATCTGCTATTTGGCTGAATAGCAAGTGTACTGCTTCTCTTGCATACATGTATGAATAAAATACATGTTGTCATTTATAGTAACAGTAATATTCTAACTGAATCAATAATGGAAGTGGGGAATTTGAATGTTTGCTCATGCCATTAATTTCTACCTGTATTTCCTGCTCTCATGCCTCCATCAAGCTTGATTTCAGATACATGTAGTCACACTTAAAAGTTACAAACTTCAACATCACTTGAGCAGATTGCAAAGGATTTACCATTATTTAATTAAACACTGCAACTGTGTAATTCTTCCTTATCTTTCATATATTTAAAACAGAATCTCTTTCAACTGAACAGATAATCCAAAGACTAAAAAAACAGCACCTCTGGATTTCACATAAATTCTAGTTACCCTTTTCATCTAAGGACAACTGCATGTTAGTGGATTTCTTTTGGAAAATTGTAGGTGTCTACCCGCTTCAGAAAGAAAACACTGGAGTGAGTGGGCATAATTTTGACATGGGCTGTGGTATATTTGTGTGGATTTAACATTTTCTTCCCATTTCAATCTTTCAACAAACATACCCACCCACCTGCTACTTGTTTTCCTGGATGCAGTTCCTCTGGCAGCTTCTGCCAGGCACCAGAAAGAATGAACCAGAAAGGCTGCAGTATCAACAACCCAACAAATGCCAATAAACATGAAAAACAAAACAATGACCAGCATGCACATTTCAGTCTTCAAGAAAGGAGAGGCAAAAGAGTGCAGTGGCTACAGGACCATTCTACTAACTTCCCATGCAGGCAAAATGATGCTTAAAGTTCTGCAACAAAGAATTTTAGCAAATAATGAGTCGCATCCAACATTAGTGTAACTGAAATTGGATTCCTTTTTAGAGGCCCCACTCTAAGTATGAGTAAGAATGAATATCACTCTGGGAGCCCATCCTAAAGAAGTTGTTAAACCTGGAATTTTGCAGACAAAGACCAAGAACTGAAGATGGGAGGTAAGCTACTAAACTACCTCAGGGTTAGTGCTACATAGGTCCAGCCTCACAGGACCAAAAAGAAGAAAGTACAAAGATGCATATGCCAATTTAGAGCTATTTAAAATGGCTGTATTGGTAGCTTTAAAAAACTGTGGACAAAACACCAGGTAATCTAGGAGGATTAGATGCAACAGAGAAACCTCCCCATACCTTTCTTAGAGAGCCCAAGTGCTCATGGACATCAGGGTGCTGGGGCAGATCGTTTCCCGGAGATTCGGGGCTCCAGCCTAGTTAGACACCCCCTAACACCGCATCTGCCCAATCTCTGGATGTTTTGAATTTCAGCTCCCAGCATTCTTGGCCATTGGCGATGCTGGCTGGGGCTCATGGGACCTGAAGTTTAAAAAATCTTGAGAATGCAGGCTAGGGAGTTGCTTTCGGGAGCGCTTGCCTGCTGCCAATCCCAGCTCCTGCGCCCAATTCTTAAGCCGTGAAGCGGCTTGTTCTTGGCAAGGAAAGAAGCGGCGCACCGGGCTCGGGGGCGCGACTGTTACCTTCCACGCCAGGTCCTCGTCGAAGTCTCGCGCCCGCAAGAAGCGGAGCAGGTGAGCTTGCGAAAGGTCCGGCTGCCCCGGCCCGAGCGTCTCCTCCTGAGCTCTGCGCCTCAGCGCCGTCACGGCGCGCTGCACCAGAGGCGAGTCGTCGGGCAGCGCGCTGAGATTCCCCTGCGGCGGGCGCGCGTCCTCGCGGCTCATGGCGCCGCGGAGGGTCCCTGCGCAGACGGTGGCGAGGAGGGCAGGAGGGAGGGCGAAGAGGGTACACTGCGCCAGAAGCGCCGGAAGGGAGCGTAGGAGAAGCAGCGCCAATTCTGGTTCTGCTCCCGGTCGCTTTACAAAAAAATACGAGCAAAGCACAAGGATAGGCTGGCCTAGCCCATTCGCCGAAGCCGGTGCCAGAAAGGCGTTCGGACCGACGGCGCCACCCCTTCCCCAGCGAGCAGCTTGTGGATCCAGCCAAGCAAGCTCTCTTACCTTTGTGCCGCTGGGCTCCTCGCCAGGCTGTCGCGGCTCATCTTCCGCCTTCCCAGCGTCCACGCGGACGAGGGTCCAGCAGCTACGGCACAACCACTGCGGGCGGACGAGAGGCACCCTCTGATGAGCAAGGCGAGCCCAAGCGCGCCGCCAGCCCCTCGGGGAACGGCCGTGACGCGGGAACCTCACGGCGACGCCGGCCGCTTCGGGCCACTGGAAGAATTGCCCCGTCGGGCAAGAACCGTCGGTGCGCAGTTGCTTTCCAAGGAGATGCAAGACCGTAAGGGTTGGGGTCCGGAGCGATTCTTCAGTTTCGTCCTCGAAAGGGTCTGTGTGTGTGGAACAACTGCTGCCTTTTACCTGTTTATTACGCATATGTACCTTACACAGTGCTTGCATGTTGTGCTTGTACGCCTTGTTTTGTAAAGTGCTCAGTTGGCTTCTGCTATTGGGCAGTAGAGGAATGTAATACATCTGTTTAAAAACCTAGCCGATTCCCATCCTCAACCTCATCTTATAATGTGCGTCTTCACCTTCGGGCTCCAAAGTAGCAGATATGACTGCCGAGGCGCTGTGAGGGCAGGGCAGGGAGGAAGGAAAGACACTTCAGTAGGATCCCAGGAATCCTGGCAGCAGCACCTCCTCTGCCACTATGCCTTGTGTGGGCTGGAGGAGCCCGGGGAAAACGCCTGCCCCGTGTTCCTTCCATCCTCAGCTGGATGTCCAGAATTTTCCAAGTTTGAATGGTTACAGCCAGTCACACTGAATTGCATCCTCCCTTATGTACAGCCATTTAATCAGCATTTAAAACACACATTGACAAACATTTTGAAAATACCAAACTAAAATATAGAATCAGCACAAAATGCAAATATATAAGAAGCAATATGGTTACTCAACCAAATTTGTGTGAAAGTTTAAGCAGATGGTATGCCTAGCCTGTTCATTTATGCACTGGGCAGAGCAATCTTACAGTCACAGAATACTGTGCATCTCCCCCTCCACCCTTGTTGAGAGTGCCATGACAGTGGAAAAGGAGATTCAATCCCGACCTTGGACAAGGTTGGGGGAGGTGGAAGGGGGATGTGCTAGGTAGAATCCAGCATAACTCAGAGCCCTACTTAGAGTAGACACATTAAAATGGGATTTAAGTTTTCAATGACTAACTTATGTCCCATTCATTTCAGTAGGTCTACTCTAACTTCCATCCTGTTGGGCAAGGAGAGAGGACAAGATCCTAAAGATCCTAAAGCCAGTGTTCTTGCCTCCAAAATGATCAGGGGTTCTTCTGGCTAACACACACACACTTTTAAAGGAGGATTGCAAGGCTGCAAAACCCTCTGTTGTTTCTCCTGCCTCACAATGCTTTTGTTGGCAGGACATCAGATGGGCAGACGTTTCTGATCTTGGAACCCTCAACCAAAGAAGAACAGTCCTTTAAGCCTACACTATAAATATATAACCTGGGCTGACATACTTGTTCCTATGCTACTCTTAATAGTTTTACTCAGTTTCTGGAAGTTTTAGACCATAGAACTGATTATTATGGTAGGAACAGCAACTGTTGGGCTATGTCAAAAAACACATTTACCTTTTTTGATTTTCAAACATTAGGTTTAAATGACCATTTATATACTTGTAAAATAGACTTCTATTTGACTAATTGGCTATTTTAGGACTTTTAAAACAATTTTCCTCTAAATGATAGCATTCCACTATATTACTTATGTTGTGCTAGAAGTATTAGAATAGACTCTATGGCTGTGTTTTCCTTTTGCATTAAACCATTGTAATGTCATGGGTGGGCAACTTTTGTATTACATTGAAAAACTTAGTATTTCTCTAAGAGGCTATTCATTCATGAACTGTGTTCACACAAAAATAAGGTTGGGGGATGAACTAATAAAAGCCCAAACCAGCTCACATAACACTAGGAAATCTTCATTATTTGTGAATTTTGCAGTTTATGATCATGTGCTCAATCTGCCCATCTTTAGTTTGCTCCATTGGGATTCATACTCAAAGTTCTCTGCTGTCTCTGCAATTTTCAAGCTTTCTGATTGTAGCAGTATCCTCATGTGCAAGAAACCCCATAACACATTGATCATACAGGGTAACAAAAGCTAATACTGTGCTAAAATTTGGCCTGCACCATGACTGAAATGGATCCAGATAACCAGGTTCATCCAAGAGTGACTGGAGCTGGTTGGCCACCACTCATTCAAGGACATTGCCCAGGAAAAGAACATTGCTACCAGCCTAAAGTTGCTGAGTGCTTCAGGGTGCCTTGATGATTTCTTCAGGAAGGACCTCAATGCTGTCTTTCAGCTGGCATGGGGCCACTCTTGTTGCAAGGAGGCATTGATCACCTTCCTCATCCAGCCAGTGCTTCCCTCTCTACAGGCTTATATAAGCCTAGAAGTGTAAGGATCCAGTATGAAAATGGTTGCACAAAAGTATCTAAGCACTTCACCAGTGTCCTCAAGCTGTATATCCACTGTTTGGTGATGTCTCCTTATGAAGTTGGATCTATTCTGAAAAACTTTAGGTCATTCCTGCCACAGATACTGTTGTGGTTGATAGTCTTGTGTCTCTTGGATAGTAAAGGCCATTCTAGCAGTGACTGAGTACCAAAGATGAAAAATACTATACTATGCAATGGATAGCTGGGAAAGAACAGTGCACGCAAAAGCAAAAAAAGAGAAACAAATTTAGAACAAAGAAATCAAGGGAAATGTTTTGTAGTGCTAGAGTATCAAAGCACACCCAAGGAAACAAAGTAAGAGAAGGCTGTACTGTTTATTCATCCTTAAAATGTTAAATTAACAGTAAATTTAAGTGCTACCACATAGAAGTACTTGGCATATATAGTAGAATAACAAAACAGAAAACACAAAAATAGGACAGGCATGAGGAAAGAGAGTCAGTGACCTCATTCACACATGAGAATCCACCAAGGGTGAATTTTCCTTAAGGACGTTTTGTTGCAATGGCCATTTTCAGTATTTGATGTGTGGTGGGGATACCATATCTTACATGTGAACCTGGCAAGAATTGGCTCTTGGGGTAGATGTCTTGTGACCCTAAAGCAGCCCATGGATTCTGATTGGCTTGTAAACCAACCTAACAACCCAATCTTACTGGATGTACATGTAACAAGAAACTATGGTGTACTTCCACTGCTTTTTCAATATTCAAAATGGTGTTTGTCACCACTACTAAAAGCCCTGAATAACCCACAGCAACTTGTACGTGTGAGTGTAGCAGCATACAGGATGTGCTAGGAAAGACACAGCTTCTGGATATGTATAAACAGCATGAGAAAGAGATCTATGTAAACAACTTGTATGAGGATATCTTTTCTTCCACCAAATAACAGATCTTTCCAGGGCAAAGGCTTTGAGACAGAAAATGAATGTATAACTCTATGAAAACTGGCCACTTTTCTTTATCATCTTTAAGAGGAAATGAGAATAACTTAAATTCACTAGAACTAAATTTGCTTTGCCAGTAAGTCTTAAATTGCTAGACGTATACTAGCACATTAAGTAGCTGAAGTTCCAAAATTGCACAACTGCTTATTATACTGCAGAATAACTACGTATTTGAAGAGAAAACCAGAGAGACTATTTAGAGATATATAGATTTCTAAACCATAGCAATGAACCAAAGAACTTTCTTTGATTGTTCACTAGAGGTATGCTACCCGCAAGTCTTGCTTGTACACAGAGGAATTTGGTAAAACAAAAACTGAAAAGTTTGCCTAGCACCTGCCATGTCACATAGCATTGTGTTTGCAGTGATATTTCAGCAGCTGTGGTATACAGGAGGAAAAAGTCAGAAGTCCACCTGCCCTCCCAGCACAGAGAACTAATTAGGATGTTCTTTAGACTCTGATGCCCATATTTGGATTCATAATTTGCCACATCTTTAGCCTCTGATAACTTGATCACAATCCAAGGCTGCAGTTCTATGCACATTTTTCAAGGATAAGCTGTGAGATTTATTTCTAAGTAAATAAGTGTACATGTACTTCTAAGTACATGCTGGCTAAGTCCAAATTACCAAAAAAAAAAAAAAATCACTGGAAAGAAAATCATCTTCAATTCTGGTGGTCAGGACTCGCCGCTATTGAAATTGGGACATTGATTTCATGAGGTATCCAGTGGAAAGTTACCAACATAATTGGCTACAGTATATATAGATGAAGATCAGGGTTGCTTTTGAAGGGAAAATAATTTTAATTTTTCATAAGTAGCCCCCTTCAAAATTTTAGAAAAAGATTAAAACTAATGGTTCCATGTTTGGGCTTCAGAACCGGCATGTATTTGTGTGCATCAACTGCTTTTGCTTTATCACAACTTCAGATTTGGAATTTCAAGGAAATATGCATAACAAGCTGATAATTAACTAGGACTACAGCATTCTATCTCCAGTCCTCTAATAATTTCAGGTCAATCTAGGTTTATTTGTACTTGTGATCAGTTATCAGCCTTGTTAAAAAAAAAAAAAAGCTGTACAAAAGGGGGCCTCTCAAAATTTTCCATCCTCTTTGTGAACAGTAAAATTGGGAACAATCTCACTGAATTTTTTTATGGAGAGGAGACACTCTCAACAGTTTCTCGTAGGCAGGAATCACCACTGGAGGGGATTGTAGTACACCTGTTTGGTGAGGTGGGGGCTATGCCCCCATTGCAAGTTTCAACAGCATCAGCTACATTGGCAGACTGGTCCACATTTTACATCCATCATAATGCAGGTGCAGTGTTGCATCTAGTGCCATGGAAGTAGAGCTGAATTAAAACCTGTCCTCCACTTTCCTGGAAGATTTCTTCTCCCAAGAAAGAGGGTTCAAGACCAGAACATTTTGGAGGTCATTTCATCAATAGGCTTTGTATAAGTCTGAAACAGCTTGTCAGCACATAACAACCACTTTGAGGCAGCTAGGGTGCGGTGTGTGCATACACATTTCGTCCAATTAGGGATATCTTCATTAGTCTGCGGCCTCCTAGGGCTTCTCAATTTGCAAAAGGCATATGGGAGGATGCTTGGGATATGCTTCCCTAGGCTTTCATTGAAGTATAGGAAGCTGAGCTGCCTATAGACTACCAAAGAGATGTCTGTATAATGAAAGAACTATGTATACTCAGCCATTTCCAAAGCAAGGTATGTTCAAGAAACCCAAATGCAACCCATTAGAATGTTTGCCACTTTTGAATTTGTTCTGAAGGCATTTTCTCTACTATCAAACAGATTGAGAATGTCCCAAAGAAACACAGGTGAAGTTTTTCACATAACAGCAGTTTTAACATAAACTTTAAATGCAACTTTCCATCTGTAGATGAACGGATGGAGGCCTTCAAAAGGCAATTTTCCACACTTTTGAAACAGTTCATATGAAAAACTGAAATAGATCAAAGTTTGCATCTTTAGAAAGAAGCACTGCATATCCTATGCTTGCTCCAAAATTGCCGTCTAGTTCAGAATGCAGTATTGCTGGTGTAACTGGGCATGTGTGGACAAAACCTGCATAAGTGCTAAAGTACTAAAAAACTTTGGCATGAGGAACAAAATAAGAGATAAGCTATTTAAAAGCAAGCAAGAAATTTAAGCATTATTTCATGATGAGGTGTGGATCCTTCTGTGTCAATATTGCTGAGTGCAGTAAGAATTGTCAATTTATGGTTGTTTTCCTGCTTTGGAAAAAGTTGTTCTTAAAGATAACATAGCAAAAAATGAGATGCAGTGTCCCTTGATCATGAGAGACACAAGAATTGAAACTTACATTTTAAACAGAACTTCCTGTTCCTCATAAAGCATTACTTAGTTTTAGGTCTCTTTCACGCAAAAACAATTAAATTCAGTCTGATCGCAATTTTATAGCTTTGGTAAATCTAAATGCAGAGTTGTGACAACCAGTTTGGTACCTTTTAATTACTTACCAAGCTGTTTTACTAGATCAAAAGATTTTTAAAAAATTAAATGTTGTAGATTTAAGTTTAATAAAGGATCAGTATATACTACAAAGAACAATCCTGTATTTGATATTTAACAGCTTCTCTCTATTCACCCCCCACCTTCACACGTCATTTTTACTACACTTACTATTTCACCTTTCTCTAACTAGCTCAGGATAAAGCCAAAAATATGTCCACCATTCATCCTGTGCTTGTTGCAAAGATAGGACATTTACAATTAAGTGGTAGCAATGGAATTTGAAAACCAATAAATAAAGTCTAGCAACATCCTGAAAACTCATGTCTTTGGGTACAATGCCAGGAATTATGCATATTTTAAAAAATTCATAGTATTGCACTCTTATTTACATAAGTTTCCATGATGCATACTTAACAGAAGTATGCAGTAGTTGCCAGAATATATATACTTTAAAAAAAAATCCTCCCTTCCCTCTAAGAAAGGAACAGACATGGTTCCTCCCGTCATTTTATCCCCACATTATGAAAGTAATCTTATGGTTCTTGGGTGAAAGAACCAAGGATCATTGTATCTGATTGCATGGAGACAACACTCCAACCTCAAAAGAGGAGTCGGAGAACCACCCAACAGTTGCATCCCCTTGTAACCAGCAGGCAGAACTGCAATGGATCACCTTGGAAAGAGGGGAAATGCTATGGGCATTCTCACTACATGGTAGCATGGTTTGCCCATTCATAAAATATTTACATGAATGGGCAAGCCCCACTATGTCATTTTGTAAGAATGCGCATGACAGTTCAAATTACCACTGTACTCACCAATGCATAAGGTTTCAAGACTTAAAGTTGAGATACTTATTGGCTCAAGTTCAGCCAGTAAGCTTCATGACAAATTCGCTGTCTATGCAGAGATAATTGCTAATATACATTAACTTTAGTAAAGAATAAAGAACAACATGCTTAGCTGTCCTTACACAAATACCAGTTACTGAGGAGCACAAGTGAGAGAGTGCTGTCTAGGAAAAGGTTAGCTACCTGGTTCTCCTGACCATATAAGCTTTCAGAATCTAGCAAGGTAAGAACCACATTAAAATGACCGAAGAACAGGACTTCAGCTTTTTCCATGGTCTGTTTGAAATGCCATGCTGTACCCAGTGATGGACATATAATTTAATCCTTAAATTTTTCCCGAGCAGCTGCTATTTCCCCTTCCCCATGTCACAGGATTTGCCTAAGAGCTTTAACAAGTGGCAGGAGGTAGAGATTGCCTTATACAAGTTTTGCAATGGATGTAGCCCAGCAAGTCCTTTTTGAAACGTTAGATACAGTTACACCTACACTCTGTCATGTTTCTTCTGTATAATGTCCGGACCTGTATCTCTAAATCACCTGATCCTTCCCAATACAAACAGAGGGTGTCAGAATACACAGTGTTATTTTCATGTGCAGTAAAATTTATTTAACTAATTGTCAAAGCAAACCTTTTATACACAAATGAAACATTTAAATAAGTAAACAGCATGAACTCTACACATTTACAAATGGAAATAGGCAAAACTGATCTGACCATTAGTCCTTAAAACTATGCATCTTCTTAGATCAGTATCACGTCTACCAAAACCAAATTTAATATGGCTTTTAGATTTTATTTTGAAGATGAAGATTATGGCCTGTTTGGGACCTAATGTTCAACTGTGAATTAAGTATTACATGTATGCACTTTGGGGCTAGTATGTTCTCCTACATATCATAGGTGAGGAGACTGGAGGCTTTCACTCCAATTTCAATTATCTGGAGTTTAGCTTTATGTCCAAACACAAAAATGTTGGTTAATCTTAAGTACAGTTCATTGATGTGAGCATACTTGATAAATCACGGTTTGAGAATGGTGTACTTTAGTAAGCCATAGCTGAAACCAAACACAGTTGTTCAAGTATGCCTGAACATCCTACTGTACTGCATGAAATTAAACACAGAAATAAAAGATTCTGTTCTATTCCTAACAACAGAACCAAACATGAAGATTGGGGGGGGGGGGGGCATTACTCAAGCAATGCTTAACCATAGTTTAACATTGTGTTTAAATAAAGCCAGCGAATGCCATTCCAAAGTTAGTGATACAAAATATACTGTTGTTACTTAGAACTCTCAAAAGTTGGCACAATTTTTGCTAAGTATTTCACATTCAATGAAAAAATTATAATATAGTGCCATGAATGAAACAGTACAACCTTTTCCTAACAATGATTAATTTACAAATCATTTATGAACCCTGTGATATATTCTGACCCAGTGCAGGAACCTGCATGCATTTCAAAGGAACTTGTTCCCAGTAATAGTCCATAGGATTTCAGCTTTATTTAGACTTGCTTCATTGAATTATGTTTGAATTGATAATTTTTAAATGGCAACTGAAAAAACCCATCCCAGTTAGGCAAAAAATTATCAAAATATTCAAATGACTGAAGTTTCAAAATTCTTAAGAACCTAAGTATCCACAATGTGCAAAAGAAGTCTTGCAAAGGTGATAAAAATACATGAAATATTTCTAACCCATCATTATACAACTATGAGGGCTTTCAAAATCCTTTCAGCAGTATGGGAGCTGCTTATCTATAAGCACCAGCTGCTGCATTTAAGTTATACAACTGCATTGGGAGAGTCAATAATGTTGTTTGGTGATTAAATTGCAGTCACCAGCTATATTGGATTCCTCATGGGTGAGCTTCTCTGACAAAGCCAAAAGAATTTTTGAAGATGTAAAAAAAAATTAAACTTTTCAGTAGTTTTATGTATCAGGGAGATGAGTGGCATCTCCTAGATCCATGCAGTTTTGTTCACATTAAGCATTCTAACGATTTTATCATAACATTTTCTATCTTAAAACTTTAAACATATCTAAAATGTTCTCTATAGCTCTAATAATGTGCACATATTTAAAGTCTTCAGTTTAGCACTATGTACTGCAGTGACAGATTGTGCTCTGTATTGTACCTTTTCCTTTTGATCTTGTACTATTATATTTTGAATATCTGACATATAAAAAGGCATTAACCTTCACAGTTATAGGATATGTATTGATAAATTGCTGCATACTAGTGTAGGCAAGATTCCAGCTTATTCTTCTGAAAGGACTTTGCAGAATCCATGTTGTCTATACAACCAGTATAGCTCATTTCTACCTGCCAGTGCAACTACTGTAGTGCTACACTACAGACAAAAGCTTCTTGATGTTGAAAAAATGGCTCTGCAGACATACTCCAAACTGCATTATGCTAAATATGTAGACATCCCTTAAATCAAATGGCTTTGTAGGCTATTTACACAGAGACAGCAGCCCAAATATACTATACTGTCTGATTGCTGTTGAATGGTCAGCACACTAATGATGCCTTTAAGGGCTTTTTTTTTTACTATTTTCAAACTACATCTATTTGGGGAAAAAGTGCAAATGATGAAATAAGCATTTAAAGCAACCTACTCAATTGAAGTGCATGAGTATATACTAAAGAAAATAGTACAAGACTGGAAATTCAGCCTTTCAGGATAACTCTCCCAAATTATTAAAACCAATTTATCAACCGAAGACTGGTTACATATGCTTAAGATCAAGCCTATCATTTAAATATTAGCAATATAAGCTTGTTAAAGATATCAGGTAAACAGTACATCATTAAAGAAAGGGTTTAACATTAAGCCATTTAGCGTTATATCATGAATATCTGACAAGACCAAAATAAGCTTGTTATACTATAGCTCAATCGCCTCCTCTCCAAAGAAGGTAGAAGGGGTGGGAAGTTTTCAATTTATTCTTTTACAAGCAGATATGCACACAGAAAATTTGTTTGTAACTATGCCTCTAGAAAGTCAAATATTCCTTATATAGTCTTGCTCTTTTGCATTGATTAAAAAAAAATGCCTTCAAACAAAACATTTACACATTTGATGTTAAATTGTGTTGCAGTGTGGTTATAAAGTCTAGTCCCCTTGGGAATTCAGGTGTTTGTAAAGGGAAGCTTGCCATGGAATAAGAAATGACTGATTCAAACAGTGTGAAGTCCCTCACTGAAAAAAGCTGTAGGGTTTCCAGTTTGTCATTTTTACTTGCATCATCAAAAGCATGATGACCGTGAGGTCTTGAAGAAAACACATTCATGCTATTTCTTGCACAAAATATTTTGTGACGGTCCAGTTTCAAATTCTTCAAAAGCAGCATGGCAGCAACAGCTGCTTTCCCTACAGCATACTGACCTTCAAATATCTGTAGCCCTGATGAACTGTAAAGCTGACTTGCTAATACAAGTAAGAAGACAAAAATGTACAAGCTCACATGTAGGATGGATGAATAAAAAGGCCGAACGAAGCATCACATTTGTGCACATGTGATCTATAACCCTTTGTTTGCAGAAGCATAAAATTTTTATGAAGCATCCATGAATGTTCAATTTAGATTCCTGGGAGAAGAATCTAAAGTTTCATATATAAATTGGATGATACTGTTTATAACCCAGTTTCTTCCTACAAGTCGGACAAGAATTAGCATTTCTTAGAGCATCACGGAGGCACTGACTACAGAAGACATGACCACACTTGGTTGATACAATGAGCCGTCCACTCTGCACAATTTCTGAATATCCATCCATGCAAATTGGGCAACTCACAGTACCTGAACGCCGTGAACTTGAACCACCATCTTCCAGTAATTCCAATTCTCTGGACAATGTGCTAGTTAACACGACATCATTATCTCTTGGTTCATCATCATCACTACTTAATACACAGCTCTCAGGGAGTTGCTGGCTTCTTAATTCTTGTCTTCGTTGCTGGCAAACATTTTCTTCAACAACAACAACAGAATCATTATGTGTCAGATCTACCACTATTGGTTCTGAAGATTCAGAAGTGAGGTCTACTACCTCTTCACAAGCATTTTCTTCAAGGTCGATTGGCTCTATTTGTGAAACTGCTTCAGTAGCTGAAGTGGCCATTCTACTTTGCTTACGAGTTTGTCTATAATTAATTGTTCCTCCACAACGCTTTTTTTGAATCCCAGTCTTTCCCATTCTTTCATTGGAAATCAGGGGGGTAGATGTAGCACTTGCTGCCAGAAAATCATTTCTAGTGCTAGGAAAAGATACAGTGGCAGCAGTCTGCAAGGCGAATGCCACAGAGGAAGTAGATGGGGATGAGGAAGAAGGGGTAGTGGCTGAGGAAGCAGGACCAACAGACTTGACCTCCAGGGCACCAGCTAGACTTGATGGGCCAAGGCCACTACCCCTTTTGTTCTTTCTGCGCTTGGCACCACAACGCTTTGTATCAGTGGGACTCATGGTATTTGGAGGCAGGAAAGGCCAAAATTCCAAGTAAACTACAGGAATAAGAGAAATATATAAGAATTATTGGCGCATCAACCCAAACAAATACTGTATGTATACATAGTTTGAAGTGATGAGGCACAAAGCCCAGAATTCTATCCACCCACACTGTGAAAACTGTGAAGTTGTTTTTGTTTTTTTAAAGGAAGCTCACTTCCTTACCCTCTGGATGTATCTTTGATTGTTTGACTCTCCAGCAGTAACATACATTCTAGGCTGAGTTCAAATAATGGTTCTAGAGGCCATTTATCCTTGGCCAAGGGCCTCCCTTTTGGAATCCATCCCTTCAGAATCTGTAGTGCTCAACCTAGTCCTGCAAAGCAAGCCAAGCCAAGAGGAAGTTCACAAATGCTTGCAGACCCCTGGTTGCACAACCAGTGATCTTTCCTTTCAAGAATGGCTGCAGGATATGACTGGAAGTGTCAGCCACCATTCCCAGCAACCAACTTTCTTCCCAACTCACTGCTGTTGGCAGTGAAGGTGGTGGTACAATGCAAGTGGGTACGCCAGTTGCCATTCCCAGCAAACTACTTTCTTCCTTGCTTGTTGCTGCCAGCAGTAGTGTGTACAAAAAAAGGGTGCAGCAAGTGGGCATGCTAGCTGCCATTCCTTAGCAGCCAAACATCATCCCCACTCTGCAAGGAACTCAATTCCTGGCAAGCACCCAGCAAATACTGGACATGCTCACCAGGAACTTAAAATTTGTGCCACACCTTAACAAAGAATTATGCATAAATTATCCCATACCCAATAAGCAAGAATACTTGCTGTTAGAAGCGGGGGCTATTTCATGATTTTGGGTGGTTTGTTAATTATGCCAGCAAGCAACTTTGCTAGGTTGCCACATGAAAACTGCAGTACCCCGTGCCATGTTTTGCATTTTAAAAATGTCATTCAGCACACAAATTTAACCCACAGTAGTTGGTTGTGATGTGCAAACAAGGTCTTTTTGTGAGTACTACTGAATTCAGCAGGAGACAGAACAGCTACCCACATGTAGAATTAGATTCAGCAGGTTAACTAGATAATGATCTTGAGAAAATGAGACAGAAAGATTCAGATTTACCCAGCCACCAAAACCACTTCTAGAGTTTAAAATTGCAATTGTGCTTAATTAAAGATTTGTAAGTATACAGATAGTCCCTGGGTTACAAACAATCCTTACTTACGAATGTGCAGACTGCATAAGCCTGTTACGAATATCTCAAGCGAAAAGCTACAAATATCTCTAGGGAACTTTGTGACATGTCATCAGCAGCCACATAATTCCCTTGAGATACAGTATTCATGGGTTTTCATTTCACAGAGTCCAAACCCTACTTTCCAATGGTAACTCCTTCTGTCCCCATATCCAGCAACACAATTAAACCCTGTCTCTCAAGTACCAGGTTCATCTCCATCACCATCAATTAAAGTTAGGTTTAATGGTACCTCAAGAATATTCTAAACTGTTAAGAAATTTTCTTTTGTGCATACACACATACAGATTCTCTCTCTCTCTCCCCCCAGCACCTGTAGTTACTTTTCTTCTTCTTCTTCTTCTTCTTCTTCATCATCATCATCATCATCATCGCATTATTATCAGTATCATGTTATTGTGTTTAAGATGTTTTACTGGATATGGAAGCATTTCTTAAGTGTTTTATACAAATAGAAATGTAGAATACACACACACAAACATTTAGCTTACTCATGTGATCCAAATTACATACAAATTGATGGGTCTTAATTTTGCAACACAACCTTGATAGGGGAAAAATTTATAATAGAGTGAAGACAAAGAAACATATTTTCAGATTCCATAAGAGCTTTTGCATCAAGACAAGATTGTGCTTAGTATGTCAGAATGCAAGTTAGAAGGAGGGATTTCTTAAAAATCCCAACCCTAACTCTTGTCCCAAAACATTGAGAAGAGCACAGACATAAGCAGTACCTACTAATCAGAATGAAGAAAATATTTATGCCACTGATCTACAGAAGAAACACTAATAAAAAGTATTTTGAAGGCCTTAGGAGATAATCCTAACATATTTGTCTATCTGGTTCCGTATGTGCACCATATACACCCTAGCAAAGATGAACATTGCCTTTCAAATGAGATACTGACATAATTGCCCAAGAGACCAAAGTCAATGGATGCGTCAACAGCATGATAATCCCAGAAGGGGGAAAAGTTGCCTCCTACAGTGTTTGCTATAACCTAGGATATCTTACCATTTTTCTATCCCCATTCAGTAAGGATGTGCACAGAAAGCTTGCCAGGAAGAAAAAAAAACTGTATATGATCCTGGATGAGTAGGATAGTTACTGGCAGGGCACACTGTATCACTTTCCACATTTAATTCTCCAAAAGGGAGATACAACTTCTAACAGTCTGCCATTTGCCATCAAATCTGTAAGTGAGGTATTCCAGTGGTAAAAATCATGGCAGATAACATGGATTATTCAAACAGCTACAGAAAGAGAAACAAGATGCCATTCTAAAGCAAGTCTTAGATAGTGCTCAAGGACTTAGTAGAATTGGACAGAAGCAATGTGGAAGCTATCAGGAAAATGCTGCTACATTGATAACAAAGACCCACAAAGGGTTTGGGGAATTGTTCAGTACCTGATGCAGTATAAATCCAATGTGTGAAGCGTGTCAGCACATTGAGAAGAAATTAACCAGACAAGAGGAATCAGAACAGCGACCAGCAAACAGCCTTAGAAAGGTGCAAGTAGACCATCATCGCAGTGCCAGTGCCTCAGTATTTTGACCCAGCAGTGCAACCTTGAGTGCACACAGACTGACACATCTAAGGTTGGCTACTGAATCAGATGTTCCTAGGAAAAAAATAAGTCTCAAGTCTGTCAGATATAGGGCCACTTAAAGAACTCTAGAAGCTTCACATCTCAGAGGATGGCTGAATTCAATGCATGCTGGCTCTAGACACCAATTCAGAATAGAAAAATAAATTGCTAAGATTGTTCCTGAAATTATAAAATCTTAATTAAGCAGAAGCATGCTACAACTGATGCATTTACATGAGTAAGAGATTAAAAGGCCTATAGTATAGGCTTGAATAGTAACTTGCTATCTAAGCATTAGTATTTTGATTGCACCAAGATCCATCATGTCAGAAATTCCAGCCTGAAAACAAAGGGGCCCATGAATCCTTTGAAGCTCTTTACCTGATACGAAACTACCCATACACTGCCATAATAATCTGGGGCTCTGCTCCAAGAACCTCCTACAAGAGAGGTTTGGAAGCTGGCAGCAAAGGAGAAAACCTTAGTGGCGGCTCATGATTATGAACACCACCCAACAGAGGTTTGCCTGGTGCCAACAATGTCAACTTTCCAGCACCAGGTTAAGACCTGCCTCTATGCCCAGGCATTTCACAGCAAATAATTTTAGTGGGTTTGGGGAGTGATAGTGATGATTGTTTTCAATTGCTTTGTATGTAAACAGCTTTGTGTTATGTTTTGCTATGTTTTTTTAATTTTAATATTTATGACCCCCTCAGAGTTCTTTGTCTATTAGGTAGAATAGGCAAGTAATAAATTACATAAGCCCACTTAAAATCCCAGCACATACATTATTAACTTCCAAAGACAGTCTTATTTAGTGTCTGTGGACTACAGAGGAAACTTAGGAAAAGCATGTTCTCATGGACACTTCGCTTGGTCATTGCAACCATAAGTTAGTACAGTTGTACCCATGAGGTAAGATACTAAACAAGCTGCCTTTCCAAGAAACTTTAACACTAGCATCTCTCAAGGCTCTTAAGGAACCACATGAACCAGGAGTGGCTGAATGGTATGGCTATCTTTGAGAGACTTCAGAGATTATGTCCTGAGTCCTTATGATGAGCCACCTACTGGCAGAACTGGAGTTCACATGTTCTGATTAATTCGAGATTAATCAAAAGGCAGAGCTCAGAATAAGGAAGGAGAACACAACACATACAATTATTTCTATAAGAAGCTCACTTCCTGTGTCTCCTAAACCCTTTTGGGATTGCCATTTCCTGTTTCTATCTCTCAGGACGCAATCCTATGTATGTTTAGACAAAAAAGTCCCACAACTCGCAACAGTCCCCAAGCAACATGTTGGAAACTGTGGGGCGTTCTTCTAATACTCATAGAACTGGTCCCTTTAGTTGCCCTATTCCAGACGGCATTTTAAGTCTAAACTAAGGACTTAGTTTTGTTACAGGGTGCGCGATTCCAAGCCCTGAGAGAAGACTTACCCACTGAATATATACTCGAAGGTCCACCGTTTGGGGGAAAAACTTATGTAGGGCACTGAGCCCATAAATAACATTACACCCACTTATTCGTACCTATAATGAAACCTCCAAGTCTTATAGCGTGGTCTCCAGGGCAGCTTTATCCCGTGTAACGTACGAACAATCGCAAGCTTTACCGCTTTTTCATCAGCCCATCCCTACTTTTGTCATCTTTCATCATTAGCGTTTAAACCGCTCTAATGGGGTGAACAGGCCTACTGGGGAGCGAACAGCCTGTGCTGACCTATCACGAACGGCCAGAGGTATAATGGCTGGCAGCCTCTAAGAGAAGAGCCCTGGCCACGCCACTCACCCTAGGACACCACCCAAACCCTCTAGCCACGTCCTGGAAAAGGGCACCTTTCTCAAGGCCGCCGCCGCCGCCGCCGCCACAGGCCTGCTGTATGAAGCGGCTGAAGTCCACACACAAGCGCTTTCCCAAGCTACCTTCTTCCGAAAAGCACACTTACCTTGTGCTCGAAACGGTACGAACACAGCCTCCACCCCAAAACTGAAAACGTGAACGTCATTTCCTCCTCCACGCCCTACCAACCATGTCTATCATTGCGCCTGCGCCATTTGTGGCACTGATTACATACGGGCCATTTAAGGCGGGTAGTAAGAGGCGCACGCGCGCTTGTATCCTTTCCTTTCCTTCTCGCCTTTCATCCCACGTGACATGAGGCGGAGGCGGAAAGAGAAAGGTCGGTTGCGACGTCGTCAGCGGAGGAGTGGGGAAGAGCGGAAGGTCAGGGCGCTGTGGAGCGGAAGTGGGAGCCGGAGCGCGTCCGCCATTGTGGGAAAGCGGAGCCCGGAGCAAGGGAGGGAAGCTTGTGCTGTGTTCAGCGCGTAATTTTCGAAGGCACTGACCAGGGCAGGAGCGTCCGGGCTGCGGAGACAATCAGGAGGCGGCGGCGGGGTGAGAGGTGAAAAGGAGGCGGCGGCTGCAGCAGCGACGTGAGGCAGAGAAGGAGGAGGCCCAAGTGGAGCGGGGTGAGGGGATTGCGGCTCCCCGTGAAGAATGTCAGCCACCAGCGTCGACCAGGTATCGTCTTCGCCCGGTCTTGCCATTGCCGGGTGGGAGAATGGCTGGGCCTCCCCGCCCTCCTTCCGCTGGGGATAGCGACGATCCGCGCCCGCTACATCCGAGGCCGTGGGACTCCTCCCCTGTTCCCGGGCCCGCCCCCTCTGCAGGCCTGGAGGCCGTTCAGCCTCGGCCTGGGGCCTCCCTCTGAGGCCGTGAGGCGATCCCGTTGTTTCCTTTCATGAACAGGCCTTTTTCTTCTTAGGGACTCTGTAACTTGCTCTTGTGCTTTCATGCCGGCTTCGTATTCTATCTTCCCAAGCCCTCCTATGTCGCCTCCGGTCTCTTTTTTCTACCGCCCCCGTGGGCTTGCGGCTCTCAAGGCTTCCTGTACGAGACATTGCCGTTTAGTCGTCACCCTCCCGTCTTATCGGAGCGCGTCTCAGTGCCATTTCTTGATTGTTATTCTTGCTGTTATGCTTTCTTACCTTTTCCCCTTAATAACAGATCTTTCACTATCCTTAGTGCTTTTATTCTAATGGAGAGATTTTTCATCTATTTAGCTTTCTCTTTTGTGGTCTACTCGTTTTTCATTTCTAAGTAGCTTCATACTTCAACATTTTTTTTTGTTATTTCGCAGTGGGTGTATTTCTAATGGTGATTCTCATAGCCTTGCCCTTTCAGGCTCTGTTTCTGTAGGTGCACGTTGGCCTTTCAACAGAAAGCTTAATCTTGGGGGTCTCTAGTGAACAGCAGTTCGTGCAGCTCAGGCACCATGTATCTGCTCAGGTCCTTTTTTTAAACATAACAGCATCACTTTTGAAAATACTTGAGTATTGGGCAAAAATGACTAAATGCTGTTCTGTTCTTCGTTTTTTCAGTATTTAGTGATGTGTGGGATCATTATCAAGTTGGTTACCAAGTTTGTTGTGAGAGTAGAGGAGAAAAGGAATGCTGTGCAATAGGTGGGTCACTTTGGGCTAATAAAAACAATCAAAATTCGACATCACCATTTGGCTTTGTAGTTCTCATTTTAAGTGGCAAGACTGGGCACATTTAACAGTGTCTTTGTGGAGGATTGTACTCAACACAGCATTGCTTTATTTCACAAGAACATTTTTAACAAATGGTGGAATGCTGTTCTTTATTGAGAAACTGTCAAGAAAAGTAAACACCCTCATCTAATGCCAACAACTCTTTAGTCATTTTCTTAGTGTGCCAAACAAAGCATTATATGGCTGACTGTTTTCTGTTTCTTATTGTATTTCTGAAGGGTAAAATACAGATAAGTCTTTTTTAATGTGAAAGTAATATTAGAATTCTAAACAGTTATATTTAAATACATAATAGCCTGCTTGACATAGGCTTAGTTGTATACTTAAATTCAGGGAATTTACTTAATCTGAGTCAACTTTTCCCAACGTGTTCTTTCCAGATATTTTGAACTGCAATTTACATTGGCCAATGTCAAGGTTTATGAGAGTTGTAATCTAAAATATCAGGAGAACACTAGGTTAGGTAAGGTTGTTTATGTAGAAGGCTTTGATAATAGATTCCTCTAATCTCTCTCTTTTTGTTCTTTGTTACTGACAGAGACCTAAAGGACAGGGAAATAAAGGTAAGTTGATTCTTCTGTATTTAGGTTCCCATTCACAAAGAGTATAATTCTATGAACAGGTAGTTTTATACCTGCAGTGTTTAGAGATGATGCAATCTGTTAATGGTTTATATTGAGGCAGTAAGCAATTTAATTCAACTGCACCAATATAAAAAGATGGTGAATTGTCTTGCAGTCTTATAAAGCAGAATTTCCTAAGCTTTTCCTGTCTTGCTTCTCTTGACCCAAGTGAATGTTATGAGCTATCAAATGAACTAATAGTGAGTTCTTTTCTTTGTTTAGCTTCTTCCTAGCAGAAATGTTGCTTTAGTATCTGGGCTACTTTTAAAATGTAACCGAGTATTGCAAAGCATTCTAGTTTAAAGTAGGGTCTAGATAGCTTTCAAAGCTTAGAAAGTTTTGTTTGAATTCTAAGATAGGTTAACCTAAGTTCACAGAAAAAAAGCTTTGCATTCTTTCCTTTCCTCCTACAAACACCTGCTTCCTTCCCACCAAAAAACTTTCTAGAGGATTGGAGGCTCCTGAGAAAGGTGCAATGAGTTGCAGTAGGTGCATGTCTGTATTGCATTCCATTAGGTGAATGTCTGGATCTGGCAGGTTCCCCTCTCAGAGCAGATCCTGAGTACCATCTCGTGTCACTGAGGATAAAGCCCTTAAACCTCCAGAAGATTTCTTGTTGGGCTCAGATGACTGCAGTGGGCAGGAAAGGTTAAAATCAAAGCCCCCCCCCTTTTTTACACTTGGTCACCTGCATTTCTTTTTCATAATTCAGTAATTGATTTGTCTTCTGCCAACTTGCCAAATATGCTATTCCTTCTCTGTTTCTTTGTGATTGTTAACCAATTCCAGTAAATATGGGCTACATATGGATTATTCTTCTGAGTGGCTGCCTTTCTGGGAAGAATGCTGTCTGAGGATGGAAAATTCTAGTATTGAAAAGTTAAAGCTGTATATACAGTGTATCATGCTGGATTAAGGCTGTGTGCATACAATCAAGTCTGATAGCACTGAAACTGAAGGTTTATGGTAGCACCCTCATTCTCCAATAAGTCATCAAATATGATAGCATCCATTTCAATGACATAGTTTTCAAGCTGAATAGGTAAGATGAGGAAGATGGCTGTGGTGGTATTTTGTTAAAGGCATTATATAGTACATAGTAACTCCTTCATGGATCACTGCCTTGTCGTGGCGAAGGGGCTTGCGTAGCTCAATGAAGCTATGAGCTATGCCGTGCAGGGCCACCCAAGACGGACAGGTCATAGCAGAGAGCTCTGACAAAACGTGATCCACTGGAGAAGGAAATGGCAACCCACTCCAGTATCATTGCCATAAAACCCCCATGGACAGTACCAAAAGGCAAAAAGATATGACACCGGAAGATGAGCCCCGCAGGTTGGAAGGTGTCCAATATGCTACTGAGGAAGAGGAGAGGGCTTGTACTAGTAGCACCAGAAAGAATGAAGTGCCTTGGTCAAAGCCGAAAGGACACTCAGTTGCAGATGTATCTGGTGGTGAAAGGAAAGTCCGATGCTGTAAAGATCTATACTCCATAGGAACCTGGAATGTAAGATCCATGAATCAAGGCAAGCTGGATGTGGTCAGACAAGAGATGACAAGACTGAACATCGACATCTTAGGAATCAGCGAACTAAAATGGACAGGAATGGGTGAATTTAATTCAGATGACCATCAGGTATACTACTGCGGGCAAGAATTCCTCAGAAGAAATGGAGTAGCCTTCATAGTCAATAAAAGAGTAGGAAAAGCAGTACTGGGATACAATCTCCAAAATCACAGAATGATCTCAGTTCGAATCCAAGGCAAACCATTCAACATCGCAATAGTCCAAGTCTATGCCCCAACCACTGGTGCTGAAGAGGCTGAAGTTGACCAGTTCTATGAAGGCCTACAACACCTTCTAGAATTAACACCCAAAAATGATGTCCTGATCATCATGGGGGATTGGTATGCTAAAGTAGGAAGCCAAAAGATAACTGGAATAACAGGAAAGTTTGGCCTTGGAGTACAAAATGAAGCAGGGCACAGGCTGGTAGAATTTTGTCAAGAGAATTCGATGGTCATAGCAAACACTCTATTCCAACAGCCCAAGAGACGACTCTACACATGGACATCACCAGACGGTCAGCAGAGAACTCAGATTGACTATGTGCTCTGCAGCCAAAGATGGAGAAGCTCTATGCAGTCAGTGAAAACTAGACCAGGAGCTGACTGTGGCTCAGATCATGAGCTTCTGGTTGCAATATTTAGGCTTAAATTGAAGAAAGTAGGGGAAAGCACTAGGCCACTAAGGTATGACCTAAATCATATCCCTGATGAATATACAGTGGAGGTGACAAATTGATTTAAGGAATTAGATCTGATAGAGTGCCTGAAGAACTATGGACTGAGGTTCTCAAGATTGTACAAGAGGTAGCAACTAAAGCCATCCCAAAGAAAAAGAAATGCAAGAAAGCAAAATGGCTGTCTGAGGAAGCTTTACAAATAGCTGAGGAAAGAAGGGAAGCAAAAGGCAAGGGAGAAAGAGAAAGATACACCTAATTGAATGCAGAATTCCAGAGAATAGCTAGAAAAGATAAGAATGCCTTCTTCAATGAACAGTGCAAAGAAATAGAAGAAAACAATAGAATAGGGAGGACCAGAGATCTCTTCAAGAATATTGGAGATATGAAGGGAATGTTTTATGCAAAGATGGGCATGATAAAGGACCAAAATGGCAGGGACCTAACAGGCAGAAGAGATTAAGAAGAGATGGCAAGATTACACAGAGGAACTATACAAGAAAGAGCTTAATGTCCCTGATAACTATGATGGGGTGGTCACTGACCTCGAGTCAGACATCCTGGAATGTGAAGTCAAATGGGCCTTAGGAAGTCTGAGCAACAACAAAGCTAGTGGAGGTGACAGTATTCCAACTGAGCTATTCAAAATCCTAAAAGATGATGCAGTAAAAGTGCTACACTCAATATGCCAGCGAATTTGGAAAACTCAGCAGTGGCCACAGGATTGGAAAAGGTCAGTTTACATTCCGATCCCAAAGAAGGGCAATGCCAAAGAATGTTCAAACTACCGCACCATAGCA